TATTTTAGAAGATGTAAACGAAACTTATATTTATCCAAAGGTACGTGTCCTACAAGTACATGAGTACTGTATCCATGGATGCGCACAAAAACCATCATGTGTAGCATACATCATCATAATATATAAAGATATCATATATATTATATATACCTATATTTAATTTATGTTTAGGTACTAAACACTCGAAATCTATATAAATAAAAATAAATGTTGCTAAGCGCAAAACTCGAGAACGGCTCGACCGATACAGCTAGTTCTTTTTCGTAAACGAAAAGTTTTAATAAAGGGAAAAATATAAAATAAGGTAAATATATATGTCGTGTTATCCATATACTACAAACATCATCTTTGGTGGTTACTCATCTTGTGGGCGTTATCAGGGCTCAAATAATAAAGTATTCAGTGCTCAATACACAATTTAATCAGGGAAGTCACAATGTTATAAACTTGAAACGGTAATTCTAATTATTTAGAGCTAGCGGGTTCACAGTCACCGATCATCGACTTCCAACTACAATATCAAAACATAACTCTCTATGATCCACCATGATCAACCAACGTTACTAAGCCGCGTATCTGCAAAGAATGTCGTGATGGCGTCTCGACCCCGCTCGAGACTAAATCTCTGCTCTAAATTCAAAATCAATTTAAAAGCAATAAAAAGTAAATTAAAGAACATAGTGACTTTAAACAATAATAAGGTTTCATAACAGAAAAAGGTAACTAAACCCTCCTCCGTCATATATATAAAAAAGTCGTGTTAGTTACACCATTTATAAGTCAAGAACGGCTGGACCAATTTTTATATTTGATTTTTTGAATTTCTCTTACTCCGTAATAGGATAATAAGTTTTAAAACATCAGAAAAATTAACGAAAAAAAATATATGGCTAACGCTGGCTAATAACTATTTATACCTATACATTTAAAACGTACCTAGCGACGAACCCGAGCGAAGCGAGGGTGAGCCGTTAGTAGGCAATAAAATGGAACATTTTTACATTACACGCCGTTTTATCTTACACCATTTGAATTTAAAGTCTATTTTCACTGGTCTAATCTTTTGAGACTAGGAAGCTTTACACAAATTATATTTCTTTAAATATTATTTATTTATTTATCTTATGTTATACCTGATAAAATGAAAAAAAACCTCTAGGTAGGTCTACCTATCAGTCAATTGAAGTTTTGTGAGCGGTAGGTATTAATCAGGATAGTTTAAAGTAGAATTTTAATAATTAATAATGTAAATTATTAAATCTGTATCTGCAACTTAAAGATGCTAGATGGTTTAGCTTTTAGTAACATTATCATTTAACATGAAAAAACGACTTTTTTCACTATGTTGAAAAAAAAACATGAAAAAAACTTAGTGCCATTGTTTTTTTTTTCTAACTTTGGTTTGTTTTTTCTGAAAAAATCTGGGTATAGGAAATAAATGTTTTATTGAGGTATGTTTCCTAATTTCTTACATTTTACTAAAATTACAAATCGATTTGAGTATAATGAATCAATTAAATGAAAATTTGTTCTTCCTCTGTGTCAGTGTCAGTAGGTAGGTAGGTACCTACCTACGATTTTTTTTTTCACGATAGAAAAAAAAGTGCGTGCTCTCGCCTAATCCCATATGTATATTTATGTGTTTGTTTTTTTGTCGTGACGCATTACCGTTTCATCGAGTTTCGAATTACAACGATTCTAAAGAAGTTTCACTTCAAAACTTCTTTGGCAAATATCGCAATTAAATTAAAACAAATCAATATTTAATAAGGCATATTACAATTACCTATATATTTATAGAATATCATATACGGAAAGAATATACTATTATAGGTAGGTAGGTATATTTGTCAGACAATAACAACGGTTACCATGGCAACATGGCAATGTATTCTATCTCATTCTCTCGCCGACTTAATCCTATATATTTATGTGTTTGTCTCTTTTTAGTGTTGCATTTCCGTTTCATCGAGTTTCAAATCATAACAATTCTGAAGATATTCACTTCAACAATTTTTTTCCAACGCTAAAGCTAGGTAGGTACATCTCATATTTTCTTATATTTAACACGGTCTTGAAAATATACGAATTCTTATTTGACCACTTACGCAATACTGAAGTTACACACAGAGACGCAGACTTCAGATATTTTACACTGAATTCACTTATATATCCCAATTTAAGAAATAAATAATTATAAGAATAATAATTATATTTTATGTATGTTAATAATTATTTATATATGTATATTATTAATTATCCTTATTTAACTTACTAATTAAATTCTCCATTCAGATTTGTAAAACCTTTCTAAATCTAATATCCCAAGACTTTTTTAATGCTGGGTAGGTCTACTTCTTCCCTCAATGCAAGAAGAACTAGACCATAGTCCATCCCGCTGACCAAATGCGAGCTAGCAGACTACAGCCGACTTTTAAAAACCATTTAGTTAGAAATTAGACATGCAGGTTCCTTCACAATATTTTTCTTTTTAATTTATTATATTAATAGATATCTGCCTTATTTAGTATACCTATTTATTCGAACAAACTGGAAGCAGAAAAGAATGAAGCGGAATAGAGAATTGATCGGAATCCAATAAGCACCTTGTCTGACCGGCGGAGAAAGAACTTCTACCGAAAATCTTAATTCTACAAATTTTAGTTAGGTATATGACCAACATGACAGTATGAAAAGCGATCAGTTTAAAAAAAAGAGTTAGAGCATTTTCTTAAGAAAATTCTATTAAAAAAACTGTAAGAAAAATGCGTAACGGCAAGTTTAAATATAAAATCGCGCGACGGGCGCGACATATTCGGTGAAACGAGCAGCCGTAAGCGCGGATCACCGGGCGTGGCTACAGAGGAGGGGCTTATACAGGGCGCGCCCCCTACAACACCTACGCTTGTTGCGGCAAATAATATGATAACGAGGATGCCAGACGGGTAAACCGCATCTTTGCTGGTACATATCATTACCGAGATGATTGACTGCACACTTACCTCCTGTTGGTTTTATACCCGCGCATCTAGTCCATCCATACACTCGTTACAAAGTTTCATGAAAATAGTTTCTATTGTTTTAAAACAATGAAATATATCTATTACGTATATTTAAATAAAGTAATAATTTATTTCGTATAATTTAAATGCATATTAATTACTTAGAATGAAGTTGACCCGTTTTTAAAACAATACAACTTTCAACGCCATCTTGTGACGAATAGCGGAATTAAATGAAACCAAAATTGAAATTAATTTAAATAAATCTTATCTATATTTTGTGATTTATATTATATTTAATAAAACCAAAAAGAAACTTTATTACGTAAGAAAATTTTAATTTAACAGTATAGCTAATACCTACATTTTTTTTTGTTGAAAATGTTTACTGTATATAATCAATAAGTACACAATAAGTTTAATAACTAAAAAAATAAATATTACATTAAGAATATTTTAAAGCCAAAAAATATTTCCTATAAATCCGATCATAATATCCGTTAACCCTACCTCGATTTTAAATAAGGACAACCTATCATTTAAAAAAAATGATTCTTTAAATGTAATTTAATGTGAGCATGTTCATTTAGGATTCCTAAGGACACTAATTAATCAGTAATGTTTTTGTGTACACATATTGTTAACTTCTTAAGTGTAATTCTATTCCATACTTATATATTCGTTATATAAAATTATCTCTATCAATACTAATCTATACTTAATATTATAAAGAGGCAGTTTGTTTGTTTGAACGCGCTAATTTCAGGAACTACTAATCCGATTTGAAAAATTCTTTTTGCATTAGATAGCCCGTTTATTGAGGAAGGCTATAGGCTGTAAATCATATAATATATAGTCTATCTATTCCAAACTAACCGTTATAACGTATCTGGGGACGAACTCGAGCGAAGCGAGGGTGAGCCCATAGTATTATCACAGATCATATAATACTATACTGTATTATGCATAACCTCTACTATCTCAGCCCTTATAACATACTGTTTAGCCTCAGAAAAAGTGCCGAAGAACTCACAGGTATAAGAGATTACAGATTTATTTTTTACTTTCTTATATCTATTTAAGTTTTACATTTTAATTTAAATTAATTTTTATTTTATCCTAAGATATGTAGAGCAAAGGAAATTACATTTCAAAAATGCTTTATCTAGAACACAAAAAGCTGTATTTTATCTATCTTTTATGACTGCCTAAAGGCTAAACCTATTCATCCCATTATGATGACACTTCGGTCTGTAGTCGATTTTGGACATAGTTCCGTCAACGTATCATCAAAGGCTACAACGAATACTACTATATAGTACCTACTTATTCGTATATAGGTACTTGCTTGATATGAACGAGTATCGAGTAGCTATTTTACGATAGATGGCGCTATATACTTGGAACCTAAAACAAAATATATTAAAATATCTAGAATCTATAAGGGGCACTTTGGTCTAATGACGAACAAATGTTACATTCTGAAAAGGTCCGAAGACATTTGCAGGGTCAGCTAGTCTATTAAATCAGGTTCAAAACTTTATGGTGTTTTTTTTAAAAATCGATGATTTAATTTTTTCGCACATATGTACATAACATTTTTGTACTGGAAATAGAATTTTGTGTTTAAGTAGCGGTTAAAACCAAGCTCGTATAGCGACATAAAAATTAAAAAAAGGTTAGCGTTTGAGAACTTTTTTATTATTTTAGTACATATGTATATCCCATTGTAATGTTACTTCTTTGAAATCACCAGACTAAATATTACGGTCTTATTTCAAGATCCAACCTTTTAGATAAAGGATAGGCGAAATGGACAGACAATGTGGGCTTTAAAAAACACCTTTAGATACATAAAAATCGATTTTATTTACAAATTTAAAATACATCTCTTACATGATCTCTTAACAAATGTATACATACATTCTGAATAATAAAGATTTTCATACAAAGATTATCTAAAAAGACTGTAAAATTGTGTTACTCTCTCGGCACTTACAACTTAGATGTTAGTTCAGGAACAACTTTGAACAGATCTGCTACTAGTCCCAAGTCTGACACCTAAAAAAAATTTGATAAGTTTATATTTTTATCAACTTCTTAAATATAATATTCAATTCAATGGCTTCTAGAAGAGCCGTATGGATACCATATACTTCGCTAATGTGGCGTAGAATGGACAAGACACGTTATATATAGAATGACCAGTTTAAAAGAGAAAAAATATCACTAAATCTCATTAAATACGTATAATATTAATAATAAAAAATACATGGTAACAAAACATAAAAATATGTTTTTTTTTCTTCTCTTGAAAGAATAGAAATACGTCCACAAACTTCCCCATAATTATATAATTCCTTTGAAATCTTTTAGTATCCTTTATAATTAACCATATTAAAAATTATTTTTTACATACATTAAGTTACATAAAAAGTGTTTACCTGGAAAATAGGCGCCTCCGGGTCCTTGTTGATGGCGACGATTGTCTTGGAGTCCTTCATGCCGGCGAGATGTTGGATGGCACCACTGATGCCCACCGCAATGTATAGATCCTGTTGATATATTATTATTTATATAAATATTAAAATATAATACTGTAAATGTGTGTTTCACCCCCGTGCCTCGCAGAGCACGTAAAGCCGTCGGTCCTGCGCCTCAACTCTCACCGCGAGTGTCGAAGTATCGTCCCATAGGACTAATTGAAAGTGACAAGTGTAGAGAATCAAATTGTGTGATGTGTCCGCCGCCGCGCGTACAGGCTGTACTTTCTGGGATAACAGAAAACCCGTGGGATACGATACCCGTGCAATAGAAGAACACCCTAACTGACTCTAATTCACTATATTCACAAACATATACAAAAACAAACATACGGGTGCAACAATCTTGCCGGTCTGCCCAATCTGCAGGTCGTTGGACACGAAGCCGGCATCGACGGCGGCACGGGATGCGCCCACCGCCGCGTTGAGCTTATCCGCTAGATCGTACAACAACTTGAAGTTGTCACCTGATTTCAGACCGCGACCTGGAAACATTTTAAAGTGAAAATATTCATTAATATTAATTAATTTATGGTCGTTGTAGCAGTATTAGATTATTTCAATCTATTTTATTGTACGCCTTTTTAATGTCACTATTTTTTTACTTTTTACATATATCTATCAAAAACGTAATTCATAAAAAGGTCTTAATAGAAAAGTATAAAAAGGATGCGTGTGTGTATATATTTGTGTGCCTACACACTTACCCACAGACTCTAAAGATATATTATATCATTTTAGCAGTTATAAAATAGAATAATTATTAATTATATGTAGGTATTAATATGTATATTTATGTTTTTATAATATACTAGGCTTATATAATTACTAGCGACTTATGCTTACTTCGCTCAGGTGCGTCGCTAAGGTTTTACATAGATAAAATACGTTTTATACAAATAATAACTGAATTCAATTAAAAATTTAAAAAACCCCTGACATGTTATTCACCATTTTATGGTGGCTGGCGGCCATCTTGAATATGAAAATTATCATAGTGTATAGTATTCCACTAGTAAATATTTTATTCAGCATTAAATTATTACAATTTTTATCATATCATACAATTTTCATTTTCATAAAATTTTTATCATATTAAAGGAGTTGTGAAAAAATATGTAATCTGCCATTTTGTGGTGGCGGCTGATTCCAAGTCTACATGAAAATCATACATCTAAATTTATTTCCACATTGTTTTGTTAGACAGGTTAATTAAAAGAAAACTATATTAATAAGTAATTTTGATCAAAAGTGAGGTTAACTTACCACCAGAGACAATGTTCTTAGCACTGGTCAGCTCTGGACGATCAGACTTACTAAGCTCTTGAGATATCCACTCAACAAGGTCCGTCTTATAGTCCCCTTCTGGAGCCTTCTCTATTGTTGTAGATCCTCCCTCGAGAGGCTCAGGAGCAAACGCAGTGCCTCTAACTGTAATTACTTTGATTGGGTCCTTCGCCTCTAATGTTTGAATTGCATTACCTATAATTAACATAATTATGTTTGATTAAAATGTAATTATGCTCTATCAATCAATCTAGTTCACATATTTTGTACAACAAAAAATCTATTATCATCTATACAGATATATAGAATTGAAGAGTCAGTTTGTTATGTCAAAATAACAGCTTTTTACTAAATGCATAATATGAAATTTTATAATGTACTTATAAGAAAAACACAATATTTAAAATTTTCATCTGTTTGTTTGTTCCGGCTAATCTCCAAAACGGCTGGACTTATTTTGAGGGGACTGCCACTGGCAGATAGCTGATATTATAAGGAGTAACTTAGGCTACTTTTATTTTACTAAAATGAAAGGAATTATTTTAGTAAAGATACATAGATTGTAATACTGAAACATTAACTTGCAAAATGGAGTATCATATTCTAAACAATAGATAAGATAATAACATGACCTTTAAACTATATTTTAATAATCACCAGGCAAAATATATTTATCCCAATTATATTAAATTATAAATTCATCATCTCATCAATCTATGTCCATATACAATCACTAAAAAATAAAGTAATTATAAAATGTTACCTGCATAAATGGTCCTTATAAATGTATTTGGATCTTTAACACCAATTATATCAGTTATAGGTGACACATCAAGTTTGGCTGCAACTCGTGGGAGGATTGCCTTGCCAATTGCAGTGGCAGGTGCCAAAATATGTGTAAAGTTGAATTGTTTTTGAGTCGCCAATATAAGAGGAGTCAAAGATTCAGCAGTGAAGCCTTTGAAAGCGTCACTCTCGGCAACTAATATTTTCGAGACACCATTGGCTTTTGAAATAGCTTCTGCCACCTTAAACGAACAATTGCTTGCTTATAGAAATTATATTCAGGTTGAAATTACTTATGACAAAAATACTCACTGGCCCACACTTTGTACCAGCTACGAGTACTGATACTTCTCCGCCAATTTTTTTTGCAGCACTCAAGGCATTTTGTGTTACAGGAGCTAAAACTCCATTATTATGTTCTGCTACAATCAAAGTACTTTGTAATCGACGTAGCTGAAATAAAATTTATCTTTTTACCACTCCTACAGATATTACTTAAAAACAACCAAAAAAGTGAATTTAACAAGATACTTTTAATTATTTACCTGTGTTGAAAAAAATAATTGCCTAGTGCAAGGAGAAAACATTATAAAACTTTTTAGAATAATTTAAAACCTATTTACATGAACTTTTTGAAAGGTTAAAAATCACAAAATCACAGTATATACCAATGTACTCTGTGATCACAAATGGCAAAGTCCATTCAATTTCAGTGTTACCAATTTCCGATAAAAATTTAAAATATTATCAGTGCTTGAAATTGCCAGCACTTGAAATTTTATCCCCCTAAGAGTAATTTCAAAAACCCCTCAAACCCCCTAGTTGATAATTTAAAAAAGGTAGGTTTTTATCGAATACTATTTTTTTCATTTATTTATTTTTTTCATTTTAAATAATTATAAGTAACGTAAACTTATTTATAGTTATTATTATAATAAATATAACATGATTTTAAACGTCAAGTCGCCAAGTCTTTAAACGAAACTTTATAAAACACTATTTATATTTAAGTCATGCTATTAAAGAAGAAAAAAACCTCTAAAAAGCCCCTAAACATTTTCCCCCCCTAAAACCCCGAAACAATTTCTTTATGAGAGAGAGAGAGAGCTGGAAATACACACAATATAGTGAGCACTTATGTACACGACACTTGTATTCAGCCCTTTTCAACGTCCCACTGCTGGGCATGGGCCTCCCTTCAATACGAGGGAACACGATACTTACAAAAGCATTTTATAGATATTATATTCCAATTTTATAATTACTTCCAACTTTAATAAATTGATTGTCCTTCATTATTAAGTCATCACAGGAATCTCGAAATAAATTAAATACATGACAATAATTTAAACTAGATACTTTCTAATAGCAATAAACCGATATATAGTGTCGATATACTACTAGCTAGTATAGTGCAAGCTGGGCTAAATAAAAAAATATGAGTGCGTGTAACCTTTACGCGTGTTTGAAGTATTAAACTTCTTTGGCAAATATCGCAATTAAATTAAAACAAATCAATAATTAAATAAAGCATATTAGGCATAATATTACAATGATATATTTATAGTGTATCATAAACGGAAATAATATAATATTTTATATATTTTCTCAGACAATAACAACGGTTACCATAGCAACATGGTAATGTATTCTATCTCATTCTCTCGCCGGTTTAATCTTATATATTTATGTGTTTGTCTCTTTATAGTGTCGCATTTCCGTTTCATCGAGTTTCAAGTCACAACGATTCTAAAGAAGTTTCACTTCAAAAACTACCTTGGAAAATTAGTATGTGTTCAAGCCTATTAAAAGTAAACCAACAGCTTTGTTTGTACTTGAACAATATACTAGTCAGTATGATTATTTACAAAAATAATAATGTATCAATGCGTAAGTTGTATATTTATTTAACTTTACACCGTTTTGAATTTTGATGATTAGGGGAACTTTTAAACATGGGCTACACTAACTTACTGTCATGAACATATGTCAAAATTGTTTTCAGTTTTGACTTTTTGTGTTGACTAACCAGCTCCTACTCTTTAATTTTTTTTTAGTTGCTAATGCAAGCCTTTGCGATTTTCTATTGATTAATAGAAATCACACTACGTGTTACTATTTATTCGAAAAATATTTTAATTTTATCCTAATTTAGGTTACTTTCATGTACTGAAGTGATAATTTTTATAATTTATATCAATAATGGCATCTTTACCAATTGTTTCTATTACACGTCGTGAAACTTTCAGTTCCTGCCACAGGCTGCATAGGTAAACTACATATTTAAGCATAAATAAATTGACGTAATAAAATACCACATTAAAATAAACTAGATATATACAAGACTGTGACTGATAACATATCAAAATTTTGTTAAAAAAAAATGATAAAGATAAAGGTGATTGTTGAGGTTATCTGTTTTTTTTTCTTGAAATTACTAAAATATTGACGCCAGGGTAAAAATAAAATATTAAATATTTATTAATTACTTCTTTGGTCTTTTTAGTCCATTTTTGACTGATGAAGAAAATAAAAAAATATATGGAAAATGTAATAATCCTAATGGTCATGGACATAATTATGTTGGTAAGTCAATTAACTTTGATAAACATAATGTTGTAAAAGTCTACTTGAGTATATTGCAACGTAATATTATGTACATTTGACTTTTTAATATGTTGTTTCAGTGCTTGTAACAGTAAAAGGTCCTGTTGACCAACAGACTGGTATGGTGATGAATGTCCATGATCTAAAACAGTACATGCAACAAGCTATAATGGATCCATTGGATCATAAAAATTTAGACCAGGATGTACCATACTTCAAAACTGTGGTAAGAAAACTTTATGTATGTTAAAGTTAATAATTAAATATTTTTATAGATTAATAATTCTAGATCTCAAGTAATCTTGACACTTTTTTCTTTACTTCACACTGCACAGATAGAAATACCTGAAGTTTACTATGTACTTGTTAGCCTGAGTTAATCCTTTGTATAGTAAATACACACATATCATCCTCATGGCCATGTTGTCAGGACAAGCTCATAACATAATAGCCAGACTTAGACACATTTATACTTTATACATCCTTGTTTTGCCATAAACAATTGACTTCTAATTGAAGTAGTTATAGGGCAGTGTAAGAATTAGTTAATTATAATCTTAGTTTCGTACAAGAGTCCTTTTATATTTGAAATATAAAACTTTCTCCATTTATTTAGAAATTAGAAAATATAGGTTAATATCATTGTTTGCAATGCCCTCATTTGCTGCAATTTTACAGGTTAGCACAACTGAAAATGTAGCTATATTCATTTGGGATCAACTTCAAAAAATTATGGATAAGCCACAATTATTACATGAAGTTAAAATATTGGAAACTGAAAAAAACCATGTTGTTTATCGTGGTGGCAACACCTACCCAAGAAAGAAGTTTGACTCATCGAGCTTGCACCCAAACCATCATGATGTCTCTTCAGACTCAGACTGATATACATATAAACATAATGAGATAAATGGAATTTATTTTTAGCATTTATTGATCTGATATTTTTATATCTTTAAATTTTATTGACCATTCCGCTTTTTCTTTTTAGCATAAGTATTAAGTGGAAATATAATCTCATGACACCTATAAGTAGATAGCTAATGCCTTTTAATAAATTGTCTAAATAAAATTGTTTATTTTTATGTATTTATTTTAATTTTCCATTACATTTTGTCATAATCTTAAATACAGGACTCTTTAAAAATAATACCTGTCACAAGGTATTTTTTGATTTTTAATCACAAATAAATCTTAAATATAATCATTATTCTAAAAAATTTCATACTTCCAAAGCTGTCAACATGATTCATTATATTTAAAGCACACATAACTAGAGAAATACTTATATCATAAATCGTCAAAAGCATCTAAGAAGTGATCCATCACCAAATGAATTAGTTAATGCCCAATTACATTAGAACCAATACAAATTTTAATAGATTCTTAAATGTAACTTATATATTTTAAAGTATAATTAATTATTAATCTGGTCATATTTTTAATTTTGACGTTTTTTTAATAAGCATTGGTAATTTCCAAATAATTATTAAAAATATAACAAAATATCACACACATTCGCGAATCGGAAAAAAATAAATATTAGTCATTGCACATGAATACGATTAGTCTTAACATCACAGATTAGGCTATTCTCTAAAATCACATAAATTTTCTGTACTGACATTTTATCTCAGTTTCTTTTATACTGACATTTTTGTAATAGTTTCTATAATATAAGTTCTTATCAATATGTATAGGCGGTGAGCGGATTTTCTATCAGCAGTCTAATGATGTTATCACACCAGGCGACCATGGATATTATCCACTACCATAAAATCTCTTCATGAATCATTGTGTACACTGTACACTAAAATCGGGTTTCATAGACAATACAATTATTTAAAGATATATAGAACATCCTTTTTTATATACAGTTTGGTAACGCAAAATTACAGTAATTAGTTTTAAACATTTTCATATTATTTAAATGATGCATGTAAATAATTAAGCAAAACAATGTGTGCCTACTGCAAAAAGATATTTTTTTTTGTAATTATAAAATTAGTAAATATAAATTAAAAAGTAATTAATTTTTTAAGTAATACCTACTATAAACTGCTGAGGTTATTTTTGAAAATGACTACTAAGGAAATCTGATCACCGCCTACACCAATGGTGGCAAATTTGCTGGCTGTTGTAAACACATATCTGCATATTAATTTTTAAATAAAGAATATTTGATCATATAACATGAATTTAAAATCAGTTATTCATCGTGTCGTATATGAGCTTATATGAACTATTTGCCATCAAGTATTTAAATTAATATTCATACTTAACACAACTTAATTTTAGTAACACGCATAATAACATCTTTAACTGAAATCATGGATAAAATTTATGGTTTGATAAACACAATATATTAAAATATATTAGTCACTGACTACTGACTTTTGTACAAATTTTTAACATTCAACACACGTTACATTACTCGATTTCCTAAAATAAATTATTCGATTGATTGTACATATTTGACTGCCATCCCTAAATGACAGATTAAGAAAAAGTTGCCAACATAACGGTATCAAACGATACAAAATTGTCAATTGACGTAACGTTACGATATAGTTAAATCATAAATTTATATGGCCAAATGTTTGTCTTTTTTGCACGGATGTTTAATTGTAATGTAGGGCACACCGAGTTCGAAATCGTTTCTCGGCCAGTACTTCAATTGAGGTTTTTGTTCAGGTCGCTCCTCTGATACATTAAAGTATGCAAAGAGCACTAGAGCTGTATAACTAGCTATGAATATAAGAATATGCCAAACACCATGCATATATGGGAAGTTTATTGAAAGCCAAGTATCGCAGAACATACGATCTATTATCCATGAGAATATTGCCAAGAAGCAAACCGCTACACAACGCAAACCCAATCGATATACTCGAGCACACTTAACTCTGGAATAAAACAAAAAAGGGTAATTTTAAATTTAATGTAGTTATTTAAAATAATCAAATCAAATCTCTTTAATCGTATTGTGAATTTATAAAATGATATTTAATTGACATACCTGTTTAATTCTTTGCATAAGAAACCAATAGCAGGTAGAGCAAGAGTCATCAGTGCGAAAGCATTTGCTTTTGGATGCATTACCAAGAAACCTGTTGAAACCACTGAGAACACGCTCGAGTAAAACGCTAACAGCCTCCTGTAAATAATTTTAAAATTACCGTTAGATATGTCGTAAGGGTATTTAGTTTTAAACATTAGATTAAATATTATACATGTGAATATGTGTTTGGTTCTTTGTTTTTCCTTCCTCCACAGCGACAATAGATTGATGCGAGTCGTCATAGATAGGTATGTTACGTAGGAACGTTATGTACTATTAAGAAAATAATCCAAAGTACTATATGAACACTGAGTACTAAAACTAAAGCATAAAATCTTTACACCAGGGACTATTATAATTTTACCCGTCTAGTATTTCGGTGGTATGTATTCAGCCCTTTTTAACGTCCCACTACTGGGCCCGGGCTTTCCTTCACTACGAGAGAGATCAGGCCATAGCCCACCACGCTCGCCAAGTGCGGGTTGGCAGATTTCGGTGGTATTTGTGCGTTAAATAATTTTTCAGCTTTAAGTCAGAACTTTAGTCAAATTATATGTCATGGGCTCTATGTACGAGTTTTATTTTATTACCGTTTCATTAAGTTTCTTTTAATCCATATCTAGCATACAATCAGTTTTTACAATATTGGATATTTGATTTCAATATTGGTTTACTTTTGTGGAGGTTTTGCCGTGTTTCCCCATGCGACGTATCGAAAAGAACAATTTTTAGATAAATTCTGTCACATTCACTTTTAAGACTCAAAATATTTGTATGTAATACATTGGTATTGCATGATGTACAGGCCCCTTTTTTCCATATTTTTGAGCATTTATATAATTATGTAATATTAATTATACCGTCCTGTTTACTCTGTCTTCAATCCTTTCACCGAAGGCTGCCTTTAAGAAATTGTTCATAGCAATCAGATGGCCTTCGCATACCTTTTGAAATCTTTCTTTTTCTTTCCATTTTTAGCCGACTTCCAAAAAGGAGGAGGTTCCCAAAAAAATTTTTTTTACGTCGATCGATCCTATTTCATGTAGGGATCAAAAAACTCTATGGGGACCATTTAAAAAACTTTTTCCATACATTTTGTACAGAAAAAAGATTAATCAACTCGAAATATTCTTTGTTGCCAAACGGTCCTATTACTTACTGTGATCAAAGACTCTTTGAGGCCAACTGAAGTTTGAGTACAGAAGAATCTACGGTACGCTCGTTTTTCCGTATACATTTTTTTTTTGGTATTTTAGCATTTTTTCGCTAACTGTACATTTTTTTCAAAATCTGTGAATGCAGTTCAGAATATCTCAAAAAGTTATGGATGGTCTCCTAGGAACGTTTTCCTGTAACTAGAGCAATTAAGGTACCTATTTGGCCTGACTGTCCCGCATTAAAAATCCATTCTGATTATTGATTGAATTATTAGAAAATTAAACTAAATATAGTTAAAATACTATTTTTACTTATTATGATTTTGATGTAACAAACATATTAAATTATATTTCAAAACTTTACTTAATATAATAATTATTAATACTAGATAGAGTTGTACGCCTTATCAGTCGATTTAATGTAGGTCGTATAATGTAAGGATTGTAAAATAAAAACAACGCTGCTATGAAATTGCGATGCTTTCGTCCAGTGCGCAAGCACTCGCACTAAAGAATTTATAATAACAAAACGAAAACAAGTGACGTTCTATTATTAATTTGGATATAGCATTGTAAGGTACCTACACCGTATGTTTAAAAAAATACGTTTGATATGATTAAAGTTAACAAAAGAAGGCAGTAGTAGCCCAGTGGTAACGAGCTCGCTTGGGAAACCGAGTGAAACGGGTTCAAATCCTGGGTCTCGCACTTCTGATATTTTTATGTGCGAATCAGTTCGAACGTGATTACCACTTGCCTTAGAGTAAAGGAAAAACCTCGTATGCCTGCCAGGAGCCTGCATGTCTGAGAGAACCTAGCAAGTTTTCGAAAGACATGTGAACTCCGCCAACCCGCACTTAGCCAGCGTGGTGGACTATGGATTTAAATTGATTTAAAACTAAGGAGCAACACGCTTGCTACAATCTTAATTGCAACGTAAATTATGAAAGAACATATCTGTGGTTAACATTGCATGACTAACAAAGACTGTTAATTCATGTTAAAAAGTCATTATCACGTAAATACTGTGAAGGTCAACTACTAACGGAACTATAATATTTATACGACTATTGTGTGCTAACTCTTACATTATTTCTCAAATCCCCACAAACATTTACAAAGTTAATTCCGTAAGATGTTCGAGACTAGTACCTACCTATGCGATCCCTTCTTTAAAAATGAGGAGTTTCTCAATTCGGGTGTATTTTTTTATGTTGTCACCTCAGATCTCCGTCATTTATTAACCGATTTGGAATATTTTTGTTTTGTTTGAAAGTATATTTTTTTTTATACCACGTCGGTGGCAATCAGGCATGCGACCCGCCTGATGGTACGCGGTTACCGCAGCCTATGGACGCCTGCAACACCAGGGGCATCACATGCGCGTTGCCGACCCTTTAAGAACCTATTTACTCCCCTTTTGAAGGACCCCATACTGTAGCTATCTGGGAAAACCTATTACTATATATACTATACTTTCAATTTGGTCCCATTTAAATTTGAAAAAAAATTGTCACGCCTAAGGGTAGAAAAATAGCTTAAGATGAATAAAAAAACTATTGAGTACTATATTATGGTAATCGTAACTGCAAAAGCAAAGTCAACCTTCTTTGAAGCCATTATCAAGAGAATTGAATTGAAAGTCAAACATATGCAAGAGTTCAAGGACAAGAAATATCCAATTCCATTCTTTATTTTGTGGCTATTTAATGAAATTTTTGCTTCTGCTTACGGCTTACAGCACGTATATTGTAGCATGTGGTTGACAGTGAGTCATGACCAATAAAGTTTACAGAATTTAAACGTTTAATTAAAATGTTAAGACAAAAGAATCTGTATTTAAACCTTTGTTATTTATTTATAGACTACACATTAGATAAGAAATAGAATTGCTAGGTAATAGGTACATACCAGGATTGAACCCCTACGATCGAACAGGACAATGATAAAGAAAATGTTAATACATAATTATTGTGTTAAAAAGTAATTAGAATCATTCTGGTGTTTCTTAATCCGTTACATAAAATTATGAGTTAATTCTACAATCTCAAATATTTTATTATTATATATATCGACCGCGACCGAATATGGCTTGTATTCCATACATGTGAGAGTCAAGGTGGATTATATAGCAACAATCAACATATATTTTGATGCTAAGCCCAATATAAGATTTTAAGTCCACTTCATTGTATGTTTTTCAGCTAAAAAACTCTGAGTATGGCTTCAATGGCTGCCTTAATTACGATTTCGTCAACCATCGTTAAAAGATCTACATTAAGTAATGTTTTGTAAAAGATTTAGGTCCTTCTTTATTATGTGATGTAATTTAACTTAAAACTTTAAAAAACTCCCTAGAATGCAGATTTATACAAAACTGTGCAGTAAACGGTAAAAGACTATTGCAGTAGATAACAGGGAATATAATTTTTTCAATATGGTTTCAAGAAGTCAAATTATGGTTACTGTCAAATAATGATTTTATACAAATGTATGTAGTATAGTCTAGAAATTAAAAACTGTCCTATTATTATCTTAATACTTCTCTTTAGCAATCTATAGATAATTCAATTTTTGCTACTTTTGGGAAGACCTAACAAAAAATTCCACATTGTATTATGTATGAGAAAAAGCTTATATGTATATACTTAAAATCTTCCTTGTTTTATTACTAATCATAAAACAATACTGAAAGGTAATAATATGATTATTCAGATAGTTTTATTTAAAATGTTGAACATTCACATAAATCTGTGAAAGTATCATGACATAAATAAAAATTATATATTCATAAAAATTTTACTTACCTATTACCCCCTAAAAATTTAGGAAAATATCTCTTGGGTAAAAACATTGCAAAAGCAGCCATAAAAACCCATAGTATAGCAAGCTCATCCAGAAGCTGACCTGAAATGATGTTACTTTATATTATTAAAGTTATTGTTTTGTTTTGCCTCTTTATTTTTTTAAAAAGTAGAGAAATCAAGACCTGTTGTTTTAAGGCTCAATGTGAATTTAAGAAAACAATAAATTATAATAAAACCTCTGTCATACTAATATGTATATATAAATGTATCCTTAGTCCTTACTTATTGTTAGCTTAGAGAAAATTATATACATACCAACTAAGCTTAATGTTGCATGAAAATAAGCTGAACTAAGTCCAACAACCATTAAAAGAACCCATAGGACATTTATGGCTGGATTAAAAAATTTGGCATATTCTTGAAATAGATGTATAAGGACTGGTGGAAACAGAAAAAACAATATGTTGCTAATCTGAAAGAAAGAATAACAAAATACATATATAGCATTTATAAATACAATTTTTAAATAAACGAACAATATTGCTTAATTAAAAAACGTCGTACATAAATTTAAAAATGTATTCTTAATATATTACAAAAAAGTTAAAATTTAGTATCAAAAAGTAAGTAAATTTTTTGAAGAAAATTAATATTTTATTTAAAAAATATTTAAGACGTTTTACTTACGGTATTCACAAATTCGGCTATCATAGGAGATATAGAATAATTGGATTCACACCAATCCACTGGGGAACTGCCACGTTCTAAATGTGACCACATTTTATAACACTAATGTTTTTGGTTAAAACCAAAAAAACTCTGCTAGTTTTGTAAAAAATATATTAACGCAGCGCAAATAAGATAAGCACTAGGTAATATTTAAAACACTGACACATTAAGAACACAGCAGAAGCCCTATATGTTAAAAAATATATATTTTTCAGATATCAAATTTTGAAGGACATAGAAAAACGCAAATTACACGCGCGTCTTCTTTGAAGATGTATTGAAAATTAAATTTTATTGTTTGTGTTTCGCAAATCGCAATAAATGCCAAAGTGAAATATTGAGACGTCTACTGTCAAGTGTCAACTGTCATTCAAGTTGAATGATGGATCATAGCAATAATCGATTTTTCCATTTTCTAGATAATACTAAATCGATATCTCAATGATACTTTACGTTTTTTTCATAAAGTATGATGTAATACTTGTGCTTCAAAATGAATTATATCTGAGTAATATTAATGTTTATATATACATTATAAATTAATATCTACTAGTATATGAAAACTGAATATATTAAAAATGATATTTCCTAGTGATCGACACCAAACAACATTATTTCATATAAACTAAATTCAAAGCCCAATAGATTTATATGCATAATAAAAACTTATAAAACATATTTATGTAATAATTATGAAATTCTTAAAAAGAAAATAAATTTTATGTGTTTATCTGCGAATTGGATGCTAAAACTCAAAAATTATAATGTTTAATACAGGTGAGAAAAAGTCATGGGGTTATTTAATTTTATTTATTTAATATAAGCAATAAAAATTATAAATGAGATTGAAGGCTTTTGAAATTTGTCGGCGGTCTTATTAACTTCTTCCTGCAAGTTCGCCAGCAAAAAAAATCTTCCTTGTTTCAACGTTCTTGATTAGAAGAACTTTACCTATAATATTAACTAAACGTATTATCCGTAGGGGTAAAATAATAATTATTGACTTCTAACAAAATTTATTTACAATTATAAAATTATCTTATTTTATACCCAACACTAAAGAAATTACCTGCCAAATATATAACAAGACGAAGTATATTCTTATTAATTAAAAACTGGAATAGATTTTTTGTACCTAATAAGTAGGTACCTACTTGGACCAAGGTTTTGAGATATTCTTCCCATTATTCTAAGATCGTGATCTATGTGGTGGATGCCTCATTATTTTTCCAGGCGAAAACTTTTTTTTAAACCTTACGATATATTAATAAACACGACCCAGGGGGATTGTCACCACAAATTTGCTCCAGGCTGTTTATTACTAAAAACCCTCGAAACTTGTCTCGTTCCAGAAAACGATACGAGCAATTAACTACTTCAATTTACCTGTAGGTACCTACATACCTAGATGTGGTGTCTCGGTGGTGTAGTGGCTAGCATGTACGGCTGCACACCCGAAACTCCTGGGTTCGAGTCCCGGGTCGGGCCAAGTTTAGTTATTGAGTCTTCCTGTATAGTAAGTCTCAGTAACAGCCCGGAGTTGGGAAGTTGGCGGTGTTTCACCCCCGTGCCTCGGAGAGCACGTAAAGCCGTCGGTCCTGCGCCTTAACTCTCACCGGTCGTGTCGAGTGGTCGTCCCACCGGAGTATGAGAGTGATAGGAATAGAGAGTGCACTTGTGTCTGCGCGTACACTTGAGCACTATAATATCTCCTGCGCAGTTGGCTAATCTCATTGAGATTGGCCGCCGTGGCCGGAATCGGCTAGGAGAACATCTTCATCATCACCTAGATGTCACGTAGTAATGTATTCGAAAAGGACAAAACTCACAGGAAAAGTGTTCTCAGATTTAAAAAAAGCAATTTTTTTTTCAATTAAAAATAGCCTAGAGTAATTTTTTTGTGACAACCCCCCTGGGCAGTCTTTATTAATGTTTTATGGTTTAAAAAAAGTTTCACCTGGATAAAGAGTGAGGGTCCACCACATAGATCGGGATCTCCTTCTACTTTGACAACACACCCGTAGCTTTTATAGGTAGGTACTTAACCGTATTAGTCCATATTATCATAAAAACTACTGAACCGATCTTGATAAAATCTTTACTGTTCTTTAAGTAAGTAAAATAATGGTCGCAAATCACAACCCGATTATTAGTTTCAGAGGAATGCATGGACAAACGTCAAACATATATACATACAAACACACATGCATAAATACATACACACATACGCTTATATATTTTGTTTATACATATTTGTTTAAAAGCTGTAATAGATTATCATAATATGTGAATATTTTGCAGTTCTAATAAAATTACATAAGTACATACGTATCGAATGATAACTTCCTTCTTCTTGGTGTAATGTCGGTTTAAAAATATTATATACCTACCCTGTATGCCAAAGTTCATCTCAATCCATTGAATGATTTACATTTTGTTTGTAATTCGATCACAATCATCTAAAGCCTTTTTTTTTTTTTTTTAACGTTGGGAAATGCATTTACGCACGAGGTGTGGGACTCACCGGCAAAGCCAGTACTACCCACTAAAACCCAACAAAACCATCCCCCGTCTTAATGGGGCGTCGCAGGATCGCTAACGCTTTCAACTACGACGCCCCGACGGCAGGTCTGCCGAAGCAGACCACAACAACCACGGGGTTGCTCCACAGTCCACTCTGCTATCAGAGAAGTACCAGGAGCAACCCGCATGGTACACTGCCCTCCGAAGAGGGCCACCTCCCACCGCCCACCGGAGTGGGCCACCTCTCTGTGCGTTTCTTGGCTTCGCGCCCGGTTGGGTTGCCGGGCACTACTGAGCCCCCCCACCACGACAAGGTGAACGCACGTTGGGGGGGACAATCATCTTAAGCCTAAACCAACTTACGTTTCGAGCAATAGTTTATGAAAGAAATACATTTCAGAGTACTATGCCAATACCGTTGATAGAGAAGTACTAAGAGGTCAAAAATTACAAAAGGAAAAACTTAAAAAATATTCAACTTCTACAGATTATGATGTTGTAGACATTGATTTTGATAGACCATCAACTTCTCGATCATCTCATGTACAAGATATAAACGCAAAGTAATGCTAATGTTATTAATTTCATTAACTCAATTAGGTAATAGGTAATTAGGTACCTATAGTTTTTCCCACATACATATATATGATGTGATATTACTTAAGTACCTACTTATAGATTTATATTACTGATACCAGTTTGTACGACGGTGGTTCATTTACACTCATAGAAATTATTTAAATTAGTAATCAGATAAAGTTTAGAACATTGCATCATTATTCGTATTGCACTTCACTTTGTCGTTTGTAGATTTGTAATTAAAGTGATTTTATTTTTACGATAGAAATCTCTCAAAAAAAGGATATAAATATATAAGGTATGCAAAACGGAAAAAACAAAACATGCCAAAAACTGGGAATAGAAAACGTAATATTAGTGCGTCTCGACGAGACAAATCACAAAAAAAATGTCCCATCCGAATCCTAGAACTTTCAATACCTACAAAACGACAATGCCTAGAAACGTGGAGAAACAATCAAGATGTACTTCCTGATTACATGGTAAATTAATATTGAACCAGCTCGTATCGGGTTGTTTTTCCTAAACTATCTACATACTTACATCACGCAATTTATTTTCTGACTGCCATGATATTTGACTTCTTCATTATACTAGTACCAAACTAGAATAATTAAAATAAATAATAACAGGTCCCAGGTTCTAAGCCCAGGTCGGGCCAAATATAGTTTTTGGATTTTAATAAACTAAATAAATTAACAGTTTAGAGTTAGGAAGTTGCTGGTATTACTAAAGATTCATCTCAGTGTGATTGACTACTGTGGTCTAGGTCCTAGGACATAATATATAGGCTTAGTATGGCAATGAGGAAATACGTAATAGTATGAAATGTAAAAAATGATTTTTTTACAGATAGAAAAGTTACGTCAAATGATTATGGATGAAAAACCAATAGTACAATTACATGACGCCGTTGATTATTTTAGGAAACGGAAAAAAATGAAATCTCGGTAAAAGTACAAAAAGTACCTATATTGTAAATTTTTATCACTTTAGGTAAATTAAAATATAAACTTTAATTGCAGATTGTCACCAAGTAACACAGTACTAAAGCCTAAACAAATTGAACAAGTAAAAACACTAAGTGCCATATTAGCTTATAAAATTATTAAGAAATTACTACGTCCAATAAACATAAACCTAAATTCTGAGTAAGATTTAAACGAAATATGAGATAGGTACTTGTAATTTGGAGATAGCTTATGATTATAAAAAGAAAATTTATCGTATTACAGATTGCAAAGTTTATATAAAGTTATATACGATGAAATAACAACGATGACACAGTATTCGAAAATCAAATCAAATCATAAAATTCAAAATGAAATAGCTAATAAGGTAAGTCTCAATTGTATCATGTAAAAAGTTCCTTAGTTAAATAATCATTAGGTGTTTTAATTTTAAATTATCCTTTGTTATTTAAAGGTAACGATTTGGATTGCAAGTGTACTTGAAGATTCGTCTTTTCTGCAACTATTGGAAGATTATGAAGGTAGACATGAGACTTGACGTCATATATGACACTTCCTCCACTAGCTTACACCTTTAGAGTCGTACATGTAAAAAACTATAAAAATATATGCTCATTACCCAATACAAATATTATTCTTTAGTGAGATTCAAAATCATGAGCTTCAGCCTAGAGATAGAAGATCATACTCTCAATAACAATTCAGACGGCAGTCCTACATTGTAATTTAAATATATTTTATTCTTGATTGCTTATGTTATTATTTCAGAACTAAAGAGACAAGAAGAACCAGTATGGAATATAATTGATGATTTAATAGACAAAATTACGGTAAATAAACTAAATATTGTATAATATTATAACTAAAATATATCACCGCATAACTTAATGTTATTAATAATAAATTGCAGGTAGTTGGTGAGCCTGAGCTTGTTGTGGATAATAGTACAATAGAATTAACATCATTAATTGATTCAAACTCGAACATCGACGAAGAGAAAAGTAAAACGTCCGAAAATAGTGAAAAGTCCGAAGATCATGAAATAACAAATATATATGACTTTACGACTAATAATAATGAAAAAGAATTAGAAGGTACTGAAATTGAACAGTCAGAAAATTTAAGTCAATATGTAACAGATATGATTGATGATATTATTGATACACATACAAGTGGAGTAGAAAAAAGTCCTTTAGATATACCCATTGATAAAGAAGACATTATACCTAAGCATTCTATACAGAGAGATTCAAATATTTCAATTGATCAGCGATATTCTATGCATACGAGGGATAACAACGACTCTCAATATTTTGATAAGTTCATAAACGATATAATTGATAAGATTGTCGTTCAACGTGATAGTATTGACAATTTAGATGTTACTAATAAGTTAGATACATATAGGGAGGCCCAAATTGAAGTAGAAAAAAATTCCACTCAAAGTAGTCAAAAAGAGTCTGTTCAGAATCTAGAAAATGAAACGGAAGAAATAAATGTCTACGATACTGGTACAATCGAGGATATTAGTAAAAGAGAAACAACAGACAATGATAACGTAGATTTAGTGAACTATGAAATGATGAACTCATCGCTTGATATTAAAAATAATAAACAAAATGATTTAAGCGACGAGGTTATTCCATTGGGCCAGCAGGAAGGCAGTCTTGATGATAGCATTAAAAAAGTAAAATTTTCTGATATAAATATTGGTAATAAAATAAAATATTATTTAAGCATACCTAATAGATTGTTTATATGTTAATAATAGAAAGATATCTATAGATAAAGTTTAATTTAATATTATAAATTAATTTACAGGTAACAAAATAAGGAAGGGTTTAAATGTTGATAGGTATAATATTTTAAATTACATTATTTTCTTACTATATGTGTGTTGATTACACCTCATAAAAGTCATTATTACAGAAATTATAATTCCTCTCAAGAAAGCGTTATAATGCAAGAAAAATTAAAATCATCTATAGATGAAAGTGTAAAACCTGTTCTTTATATTGCACCCCCTAATGATAGTTTATTAAGTAAGTTATATTACCGAGTATCATATATAATACTTTTTTAATTTTTAAATATTAATATTAATAAGGAGTTCGATTTACACTTCACGTTTTATGTCTAAGTTATGTGTGTGTGAAAATTTTACAGTCTGCATATTAAGTTTTACTTGAAAAATGCAAGCGAATACATTTACAGGTGACGCTGATGAATCATGGCCTGAGGATTTACGTTTTCCCGTTTTAAAAGCTAGTATAAGCGTCAGTAAATCTATCCAATCGTTGGGAAAAATTATAGAAAGTGAAGAAAAAACTATATCATCACCAGAAGAGTACGGTGATGAATTTAGTAAAGATAATTTGTTATCGTTTCAGAATGAGTCTAATATAAACGAAAATTTTAGCCATTCTTCTAATACAGACGATAATAAATTAATTTCCTCCGACGCTAATCTAACAATGGTAGACTTTGAAAAATTTGACAAGCGCGATAATTCAAAAGTTATAGATAAATTATTAAATACAATAAAACATAAAGATGCAGATATTGCGTTTCCTAGAGATTATGATGATGCATCTAATAAAAATAACCCAATGGATTGGCAAAAAGAATCACAAGCCGATATAAAAGACACTGTAATAAGCAAAATAAAAGAAAATAAACCTTCTAATTTAGAAGTCAATAAAGCTTTACCTGCAATAGTTGATACTGAAAAAACTAATGAATATAATAAATCCATATTTTTTGACGATATTGTGGCTAGAAATAAAAAGAAATTACAGACTGAAATAATTAGTACACCAAAACACGAAAACTTAATTGCACGATTAACTATAAAACATCTTCCTTTAATTAACATTGATGATATTTGTAATAATAAATTAACACAAGAGAAGAGCCTACAAACTAATAAAGATGTTGAGCAAACAATTTATTCACGTAAGACATAATATATTTTATACAAAAATGCATATTTAATGTTTAATTATTATTTTTATCTACAATACATGCATTAACTATGACCTTTTTAAAGTATCTAAAGGAACACAGAGGAGTGAAGTCACCAAAAGAAGATATCGTAGTAACTTTAACCCCGATGGACATCATATTACAGAATTTAAGATTCGTCAATGGTGTTTGGGCTTGGAAAGCGTTATAGAAAACTTAGAAATGTGGATAGATTGGATAGAAAATACTTGCACTTATATTTTATTTTTAAAATATGAAGAATATAAAGGTATTTTTTTTATCATGTTTAATAATAATGTCCGTAAAAATAATGTCTATTTGATAATTCCGTAGGAAAAAAAATACAGCAAAAGAAATATAAAAAGGAAAAACTAAAGAAGAACATCGAATTGGATGCGAAACTGTGGCTAAAGTTTAGTAAAAATATTCAAGTGGGATTGTACAGTTATAGAAGTTACTATAAAAATCTTGAGGTAAGCATTACTTACAAAAAACATCTTAAAAGATATTACGATACGGTTTATTAGTAAATAATAAATATACTTATAATAAAAACTTTAAAACCAACACTGGCCACATTTTGCCAAGAAATATTTTCTTTCAACTTTCTTGGACAACGCCATCTATTGATAAGTTTAGACACGTTCAGCTAGAGGGTATATATAAAATCTTTTTTTACAACTTATTACTTAACTTTGATTACTAAGAACACCCACCACCCACTCATGAGCGTATATATTACAATTGTAACATTTTTCATGGGACCAATATCAGATAGTACCTACCTACACTCTATGCCAAAACAGAGCAAAAAAGTCGTTTACGTTATTGAAAATATATGAAACCTGTATTAAAAATAATAGATATGTAAGAGCGAATTAATTATCATTGTATTTCATGTAGCGAGAATATTTAAATTTATTAAAATGTGGCCTTAAACCATAATGTTGCGTCATATATATATTTTAAAGGACAACAGGCACTAGACAGTAGGATCAACTTAGATACGAGTGTAGAATATAAATAGTTTCTACTATTGTATTGAATTAACATTCTTCAATGATGTTTTAAATCATTGACATTCTTCTGTTAATGTAATTACAATCGCGAATGTCATCGATTTCAAGGACATGTCTTTAAACTTCTAGGTGGTAAACTAGGTGCGATTAAATGCTTTAGAGATTTATTTTTAAAAAAGTAGGTCCTCAAGCCTACGCGTAGGTATATCTTTTACGTATGCAATACATATATGGGGCATCCATTAATTATTTTTCGACACATGTTTCATATCATTTTACACTGTTTCTTGCCGAAAAAAAATTACAGGATATTTGCCGAGACCACCCCCTCCCCCACGTGAGATTGAGTGAGGTTTTGCTCGACCCTCTCCCCCCACTAAACGCCTCACGTAATTGATGGATGCCCCCTAACTTTTTCTAAAGTAATCAGATTTTTTTTATTGGATAGGTCCATAGGATATATTTCAAAGTAGTCTCATTGTCTAGTTCCTAGTAAGTGAAGGCGGGTGACGTGGGTGCAAGTTCCGGGTATGACCAAATATTTTTATTAGTTATTTAAGGTATTGAGTTTTTCTGTCAAGAAATTCTCAGTAACGGCCGTTGGAAACATGGCGGTGTTTCATTCGCATGCCACGGATAGCACTGAAAGACATCGGTCCTGTGCCTGATCTCTAACCGTACGAATTCATATCACCATATCATCAGTGAAATTAATAGAAAATGCACTTGTTTCACACACATGCACACATACACTTGTGCACTATAATATCTCCTGAGCTAGTTTCGGTAAGATTGTACACCTTGATCAAAATTGGTCAGAAGTCAAAAGATTATAAGCAAGCAACTTCATAAGCATTTATTGGATCTTTAGCAATATTTGTGTATGTCTACATAGTTTTTTCATTACCTTTACACTACAGAAATATCTTTATTATTATTGTTAAAAATATAAACTATTATTTATTTTTAAAGATAGACATATTTTACATTTTAACAAATTTATGTCACTTAAAATGTACATTTACTTGGTTAAAATCATATTTTCTGATGTATGAATCCCGGCAGGCAGTTAAAATCCATTTTCCATTGAATGCAATATCCCTAATGCCATCACAGTCAGAACCAGTCAGTTGAACTCTGACAGAAGAGTGTATTTCTTGCAATGATAGCACAGCACAGTTACCATCTTGTCTTCCAACAATAAACAATTGATTAGATAGGGCGGCTATACTTAGCACTGGACTAGCTGCTTCATGCAATTCCTTTATTATTGATCCATCTTGTAGGTTAAGTAAAGTAATCTGTGCAACAAGTTACATTTTTGCTTTAGATATTGCTAATCAGACTGTTTATCCGGATTAATATTATAAATGTGAAAGTTTGTAAATATAGATGTTTGTTACTCTTTCACACCAGAACGGCTGAATGGATCTGGATGAAATTTGGCACAGAGATAGATTATATGTAGTCTGGAATAACACATAGGCTACTTTTTATCCCGGAAAAATGTACGGTTCCTGTGGGATAGGTTTGTTTTTGTTTTCCTAGAGGCGAACCCGCGCGAAGTGATGGTGAGCCGCTAGTAATTACTAAAATTTTAAATATGGTGAGTGTGTAAGTTTGTTACTCCTTTGTACTGAAATGAGTGAATAGATTTGGATGAAATTTAGTCGACATATAGATTGTAACTTTGAGTAACACATAATAGACTACTACAAGGTTCCTAGAGACGCACCCGAGCGAAGCGAGTGTAACACGTTAGTTTACAAATAATTCATTTCAATTAATCTGAGAGTGATAATTGTCATCATAATGATAATGGCAAGTGTAAATTAATGATGTCTATAGTCTATACATCATCTGACTTCTATAAGTCTTACGAGGTAAAGACCATACATATAATAAAATTCTAATTGAGTCGAATTTGTACATTAAATATTTTTTGGAAAAATTTATTGAAATAAGACATTGTTATTGATACAGAGACCAAATCTATAGTTTTTAGATTTTTTGTCTGTCTGTTTGGGACCTAAAGCATCACAAGAAAACCACTGGACAGATTCTAATAAAATTTGGTATGATGATAGCTGGTTATCCTGGTCAACATTAAGGATAATTTTTACTCTGGAAAAATATCTCATCTCAGAGTATAGATATACTAAAGGTTAAAATATAACTAAGTAAAGGATGAACTCGCACGCACGCAGGAGAACGAGGGTGAGTCGCTAGTGATATATAAATAAAACCTTAAATAAATTATTTAGATACCTTTCCATCACTGCATCCAAGAATAATAGTTTGATCAACAATTGCACAGGCATTACAAGCTGAACCTAATTGCTTTCTAAATATTTCTTCTCGTTTTGCCACATGTGCACATATTATGGAGCCATTTTCACAGCCTACCACTAAGATTTTATTGCCAGTTGCCACCTGAAAAATAAAGCAAACAAAATCTTAAAGCATACAGTTTATTGTCTCATTTGTTTCATTGGAAGCATAAAAATATTTACACTTTATTTATAAAGAACGTTTGTAAGTTACTAGGTTTCATCATAATATATCATATATATGTACATACATGTAACATACAGTATGTCAGTAAAATATGACCCACGCTAATCAAGGATGTCTTGCTCTATGTTATGTTAGTTGTTGCACAGACTGTCCACTACATTAGCCTCTTAATCAAGATTTGTTTAGAGTTTAGACAATGCTACACAAACTTACCTCTCTTTCATTTTCTACTTCTACTTCATCATTTGTAACAGAAAGAGCACAGCAATTAATAGGTGCCTGTGCCGCAATGATGTCATCTAAGCACTTTGATTCACCAACATCCCATAACTTTGCTAAACCATCCCTATCAAATAACAATCAAAATTAAGTACATTCATAGTTTAGTTCAAATATATGTATATTTAATTTGTAATACCAGATAAAAATCAGTTGGGTAGTCTAATCAAATTTATAAATTCAATTCTGTACTCTATGTGATTATTATATTGGGCTCGGTGGTGTAGTGGCAAGCATGTATGGCTGCACCAGCTGCATATCCTGAGGTCCTGGGTTTGAGTCCCAGGGTCAAGGATAGTTATCGAGTCTTCTGTTTAGTATGTGCGGAACTAGTTTCAATTAGATTGGACGCCGTGGCAGAAATTGGTTGGGAGGACATTATTATTATTATATTTGTAAGGATAATATAGAAGTGGATATCAAAAATGGACAAATACCTATGTGTAGACATTCTAATATGTAAACAATTATTGTTATATTACTTACTTGCTCACAGATATGACATTTCTTCCTTTATCAATTATACATACATCTGCAATAGACATAGTATGGCCTTTTAAAGTTACTGGGTTTATTCCAGATTCCGCTGACCAAATTCGACAAGAACCATCAGCTCCTGCAGAAATCACAACAACTCCAGAAGGAAAGAATCTGCATTTGTAAACAGGTCCTCCATGACCTTTTAAATCCAAAAGCTGTTCATCTATGAACAAAATTTTAAATCATTTTATTTCCATTTACAAATTTAAAAAAAAAAAACAAATATTATTATTGCATACCTACTTGTTCTGCTATCCCAAACAAGAAGTTTATCTCCTTCACATGAAGACACTGCTAATGCATTGTCAGCAGTTGAGACAGACAGAATAGCTTTTTTATGTACATTGTGTGCCTTTGTTGGAGCAACAAAAGCTACTTTCAAACCAGATTTTACCTCTTTAAGAACTAAACTTAAATTTGAATGTGAAATAAATTGATAATCATCAGATAAATTAATTTTTAATTTACCATCATTTTTATTTATTGATGTTCTTATTTTATCATGAACACTGTTAGCATTTAAATATTTAGATGATATCCAAACTGTTTCATTGGGTAATCTGTAAAATTATAAAATGGAAGTAAGTAAAAAAGTGAAGTTAATAAAAAATAATCTACTAACTAAAAATTAACAATGTATGTTTCATCAAATCCTACTTCCTACTAATATTATAAATGTGAAAGTTTGTGAGAATGTATGGATGTTTGGATATCTGGTTTGTTAATCTTTCACGCAAAAACTACTGCATTGATTTTAATGTAACTTTACCATACATCAGAATAACATAGGCTACTTTTTATACTGGAAAAAATGTACAGTTCCCGTGGGATATATTTGTTTTTGATATTCTAGAGGCGAATGTAATATATTTTAAATTAATAACTCTCACCTTAATGCTTCATTCCAATCACACTGAATACTTATAACTGGTAGAGACATTGTAATTATAGTGGAAATAATTTATAGAGCAAAAATTTATATTTTAATATAAAATAATGCTTATATTATTCTAAGGAAAAGAATATTAATTAATATGTTTTCCCAAATAAAAACATTAATCCTAATCGCTACTTCACCATCGATGACAATCAAAAATCAAAATAGTAAACATCTGGTACAGATTCAGAATAGTGATATAGATGTACTTTTCTTTTTTTGAGAATTTAAAATCGAGTTATCCGAATAATAGATTCGATTACTATTATAATAGTTCGTACCGTGAATGAATGTTGTAATTATAAAATATATTTATAGTATTATAAATTTAATATCTATTCTATTTTTTTACAAAAGTAATAAGATACAGATTTTTAAAAGTAAATTTGTGATAATGTTTTATTTATATAAATTGCAAATTATGGCACAAAATATGAATGAATGGTAATACTTATTATGTATCTTTATTCTTGACTTTGAAGTTTGATTAGTTAGTGACAAAGTGACAGACAAGCAAGTAGTGGGCGAAAATCTGTTTTGCTTTTGTCTACTTCCGAAGTCATAAAAGTAAATAAGTGTGTAAAATTATCATATGATTAAAAAGTTATGACATATATTAACTTAGACCATAAAAATGCATTTTTCTATTCCTGATTCGCAACAATTTCGTGATGATAATGGTATCACTTACACTGTAAGTCTCTCTATTTACTTGTAAAAAATACTTAAAATTATAATTTTTACTATCCTTAATTTGTTTTTTAATAAATGTTATTATTAGTAAAATACTTTATTTTTTATTTTAGGGATATAATATTTATATCGATGGCTTTTTTCATTGTACTGCTCGGTATAAACAATTGCTCAGCCTTCACGAACAATTGCAAGCTCAGTACCCGCATTTCAAGTTACCACAATTTCCATCTAAGAAATTTTTCTTAACAAGCTCTCAATTGGAAGAGAGAAGAATTCTATTAGAAAAATATATACAATTAGGTATGTACAATACTATACTAATATATTATTAAAAGAATTTTCTCCATATTTGCTATTATTAATAATATAATATGTCATTTTGTTGCAGTTGGACAAAATCCGGTGTTCTCAAATTCTGGCATATTAATTACATTCTTATTTTCTGCTCAACAAGAGACTCATTCTGTAAGAGTCCATGTAGTAGATATAGAAATTTCCTTAATGAATGGTTACAGAATACCACTATCTGTATCATCTACAGATTGCTCTAGTACAGTGTTAGATATTGCTTGTAATTATGTGAACTTATCTAAAGATTTTACAAAATATTTTTCCTTATATTTATTTAACTGGAGCTGTGCGAAAGACGGCCAACCTTGTACGAAAAAGCTAGAGGATTATGAATCTCCATATATATCTCAAAAGTATGTGAGGCCTGATGACAAAATTGTACTAAGAAAAAGGTATGTATTACTAAAATAAAAAAAATATACAATAATTCTTAAAGAATATTTTTAAAGTTGTGTTTCTTTTTTAGTTACTGGGATCCATGCTATGATTTAGATTTAATGATAGACAGAGTTTCCTTAGATTTACTATATTTACAACTTATTGAAGAAATAGACTTGGGTTGGATAATTGCTGACCAGCAAACAAAAGAGATTCTATCATCATGCGAAGGCAAGAAGCAAAAGCGAGAGGTAAGTAATCATTGTTCAAAAAGAAAAGAAAATAATAATCATATCTTATACTTTACTAGTTAGTATTTGCTAGCATTTACAGTAGATAAAAAAAAATACACATTTGATTTGAGAAACAAACTGTATATAAAAATGACCATCTCAAAATTTAATATGTATAGATAACATTGTATAATTTTTTATATCACTTCAAATAGTTAAATATTTATTTTTATCACATATATTTATTGTTTTTGTAAGTTTCGAGAATGCGTTGGTCATGTGGCTGTTTAATCAGCAGCATTATCATATTTATTATTGAAATGATCAATGGTCTCGGTAACTAGATGATTCAACTGTAAATGAGTTCATGTATTTGTTCTGTTGAAGCAGTCATACAGATTAATAGTATTAAACAATTTTTTACCAACTCGAAAGAGAGCAAATTCTCAATTTGTTTGTATTTTGTGTGTGTACTACATGATCCGCCAACCCGCACTTGGCCAGCGTGGTGGACTATGGCCTGATCCCCCTCGTATTGAAGGGAGGCCCGTGCCCAGCAGTGGGACGTTAAACAGGGCTGAATACGAATACATACTACATGATATGTTCATAATTGGGAACCAATGCTAGATATTTTTTTCTTCTTGAAGAATGTTTGCAGTCTCAGTTTCAAAGAAATTTTACACATCCTGTATTAATATATTAATGGGGTTCTTCTAGTACATTAACTATTAAAGTCAATTTATATAAAATTCAAGCAATTAAGTAATTACATTTTATTGTTTAATATTAAATAATTAATAAGTGTTATAATTCAGAATTATCAAATACCTATGCAATGAATCAGCTCTCAATTTTCCTCTTCATATTTGACTATATTTGAATATCCCCTGGCTCTTCAGAGCTCGAGGTTCCCCACACGTTTTGTAGTTAAACATGTTGACAAAAAAACAAAAAATTGTCGTAATATTTATAGGCAGATCCCAGAATAGTATATTAGATAAAATACGATAGTTTCAGCACTTCACTTCGAAGAGTATGTGTATCTTTTTATTTCAAACTAAAAATTACTATGGTATGATTTATGCGATATGAAACGTAATGATGTAAAATATTGTAGTGTCCACCAATTAAATAGAACCTAAGCAAAAAGCTTAATGTAAAAAATTACCTGCAACATAAAAAGTTTTTTTTTGAAATTTCAGCCATTAGAAAGTTGTGCATGCATCTTATGCATTGTCGCGTATAAAAAAAAACCTTACATATACCCTTCATAAAGTAACTTTACAAATTATATAAATAAAATTTTGCTATAATGTATTAGTATATTGATATTATAATTACGAAATATAAGGAAAAATACGTCTGCTTAAACTAAGAAATAGCATGAACATCACTATCACTGATTAAAGATAAGATATTTTAGTAATATAAACTTTATGCAATAGATTTTCTTTCTTATATTTTGTTTTCTTTCTCTACATTAGTTTATAAAAGTTACGTGCAAAGAAGAGCCCTTTCTTTTAGTTCAACGCATATTCATTACCTTTATAGAATGTACGTGTTTCCGAAAAACAACGGGTTCGCTTATTATCAGCCAGTAAAATGATTTTATAAAAATTTTAAAATCTGGTTTATTTATAGCTAGTACTACTTTTAGCTTTTCACTATTATCTATAGTTTCGGATTTCGGTATCCACGCCCACTTAAAATTCAATTTGTAATACATAAAATGTATTTAATATGGACATAACTAAGATAAATATTATAGGAATTGGTATAACTCTGCCATTTTAAAATTTTAAGCAAACTCCAAAAAAGAATCTTATATTAGTAGTAAATTAGATACCCTCAATTTTTTGTGCAAACGCCAAATCCTTGTCTAAATGGGGTAATACTTAACTTATATTATGTATCCCAAATACTAATAGAAATCAATTCAGAGATGATCATACCTATAATTGACAGGAAAATCATTCATGTATTAAATAAATCTTAGTATCTACATAATATATTAAGAAATAATTTTGTTTCAATATCAGGAGATAGATTATTATATCTCGTGACTAGATACACGTATTTCGTGAGAAATCTTACTTATTTTAATGCATTACGTCAAACATTAAGGGTATCGATATTATTGTTACCTAAATGACGTCTTACTACAGTAGACAGTAAAAGCTGATCAGACTACCCTAAAAAACTCATGTGTTATTCCAGAAATTACTTAATCTATTTGAGTGCCATGTTTCATTCATTCAAATCCGTTCCACGGTTTCTGCATGATTGATTGATAAACATTTAACATATATTATGTATATATAATTTGATATACTAGTTATTTTAACTATATTATTAATTCCTTAGTACATAGAGCTTGCACGTACATTGAGGCACTATAGCAGTATCCCAGCGGGTGAAGCGGTAACGGACGCTGCCAATGTAGGCGAAAGTGGTGCCAGCGTGCGTGTTCGAGTGTCGTTAGCGTCCAAAGAACTTACCTTGACCAGTTGTGTTCATCCCAACAACGAACAAAGATATAAAGTCACTAGAATGAGATGTTGGCGAATAACTACTTTACATAATGTAAGTATCTATGTTAATTATTGTTACTACGAAGATTAGTCATTTTATTAATTATAAGATTTAATTAATTAATAGGCAAGGCAGTGGTAGCCCAGTGGTAACGCGCTCGCTTGGGAAACCGAGTGAAGCGTGTTCAAACCCCGGGTGAACACTTGAAAATATCAGAACTCGCACTTCTGATATTTTCATGTGCGAATCATTTCTAACATGATTAGAACTTGCCTTACGGTGAAGGAAAACATCGTGAGTCATCACAACTCATCACACGTTTTCCAAAGGCATGTGAAGTCCGCTAACCCGCACTTGGCCAGCGTGGTGGACTATGGCCTGATCTCTCTCGCTTTGAAGGGAGACCCGTGCCCAAAAAAAAAGGGCTGCAATTAATTGATCCTTCTTGACAATATTTTGTTTTTAGGGTGCTAGAATATTTTATTTACGTTAATATATTATATTTGAATTATTAAAAAAAGAGTTTAGGATCGAATTGATTTAATCACGAAATAAGTTCGAGTTAGAGACTTTGTTCGTTCTATATTTTAAACTAGCGATTCAACCTCGCTCCGCTCGGGTTCGTCCCTACTTTCGTTTTAACGTTCAGTATAGATTTCTCAGTGATGAAATGTTTTTCCGCAGTAAAAAGTATCATATTTGTTGACCCGAATAACCAGCTATGATCATACCAAATTTTATTAAAATCTGTCCAATGGTTTTCTCGTGATATGTTCCCAGACAGACAAAATTCTAAAAACTCAATTCGGCTTCTGTATCCAAAATGATGACTATTTCAATAAGATTTTCCAAAAAATATTTAATGTACCTACAGATTTGACTCAGAATTTTATTATATGTATAAGATGTTAAATATTTTTTTTGGACCTATTTACTTATTGCATATAGTTTGGCAGCTATATACAACACTCAGGTAGGTATATTTCATTAACGTTGGGTTGAGAAAATCTTAGTTGGGAATATTAGTATATCTAATAGTGTAGAAAAAAATAATAATTCAAGTAATGTACGAAATCTTTCTGTCTACAAAATTGGGAAACCATATCTTATCGTAAAAAAACGATATATGGTTAATCTGTACTCATTTTAGAAAACCTTAAAAAATATTCCATAAACTGAAATGCTAATTTTGGGACTGATACAAAAATTGTTCTTGTTGTAGCTTTATAGCGGTTCAAGTGTAATAATTCATGACAACTTCGTATATGGATGATGTCACTAGTACGTTATTTGAGTCATTTAAGCAAAGAAAATTTGTTGTAATCAATACAGGATACTTTTTAATGCATAGTTTCTCCTAAACTCAACTCATTTATCAACTTATACACTTTACAATCATATTTTTTTGTATAGCAATACAAATTCACAGTTCCAAATGAAAATTAGACTTCGTTACATCTTTAACCACTATAATCAATTAAAAGTCTTATTTTGTTGGTAAAATCAAAAGTACAAAAAGTCAAAAGTGCATTTTATTTTCTATGTATCTGTCTAAGCTTCTAGAAAATATTCCTCCATGTTAAGCATCAAACAATTTATATAATTGTAAAACAATAAGTAAGGATCCTTATGGTGTATCCACAACCTATCAACATGCTTCTCAATTCCCACGCATATTGAGCCGTCTGCGGTCTGACAGACCTATTTAAATAATTATTTCATTGAATGTACCAATTTATAAAAGTAAAATTATAATTTGTTTCAATTATAGGTGGATCGAAATCAAACCAACGGCCATGATTCGCTGCTCGACGAGCCGAGCAAAAACTTTGAGCTCTCGTTTGAATATCTCATTAGCAAAGATAATTTGGTGTGGGTGACGCTGCGGACGGAACATGCAATATTTATAAGTGTCTGTTTACAGGTATGTTTGTGTGACTCATTCTTCGTTATATATTGTAAAATTTAATTTATCATTGGTATTTTTGTTATAGGTATAGTACTTATATTATACTAGCGACTCATACTCGCTTCGCTCGGGTTCGTCCCTACTTACGTTTTAACGTTTAGTTATAGATTTTTCAGATATGAGATATTTTCCCGCAGTGAAAAGTATCCTATATGTTGACCCGGATAACCAGCTATCATCATACCAAATTTCACCAAAATCCCTCCAGTGGTTTTTTCGTGATGCGGTCTAGATTCGACTATAGATTCGGCCATTCATTTCATTTGTATCGATAATAATGTCTATTTCAATAAGATTTTCCAAAAAATATTTAATGTACAGATTCGGCTTTTATATGTATTGATTACTTTTTTGCATAGCTTTTTCTATGTATTTATAAGATATATGTGGAAACTTGATTGGTTTTAGGATTGTTTTTATGTTTTATAATCTAATTATTTATTGTACTGTATTAAAAAGCACGATGAATTTACACGTAATTTAATTAGGATTTGTAAGGTGGTGGTCAATAATATTTTTCGAACGCATTGACAAGTCTTTTCTATGGGATAGTTTATGAGATGTCGTAGTCTGATTTTGAATTTGATATATTAGAATTACTTTGTTCCTGTAAAATAAAAGTTTCTTACAAATTGTGACACGGATGACCGAAACGTAAGCTGATGACTTTTTTCTAATATTTTTGACTTTTTAAGTAGTTAGTGTCTAGCGGCTCCGCTCGCGTGGTCATCGATGAAAACATCGATAAAAAAATAATATATACATACATGGTATTACCTATCTCTACCTTCGCATTAATAACATACATACATAGACATACACATATTTACTAAATATATATTTTTCCACCAGTCAATAGTAGATGAGCTAATGCGCCAGAAGAACGGCGAAGGGCCGGCGTCACCGCGCTGCAAACGCGCCAGTCTCACGTACCTGAGACGTGATGGCTCCACACATCTCATAACGCCGTCATCGTCCAGTGATACTCTTAGTTCTGTAAGTATTCTAACATTCTAAGCTAAACATTTATCTATACAGATAAATGAAATTGATGTGTCTGTTTGTAATTTCAAAATAACAGATTTTAACTAAATGCATATAAAAGTATATATTATGCAGATATTATCAGGACAAAAAAACATATTTTTTTAATTTATGTCTGCCTGTCTGTTTGTTCCGGTTAATCTCTCATCCATCTCATACAAGAAAATTGGTAGGCTTTACTGGAGCTATTTTATTTTGCCCAAATAATAAGCTCTTGCTTGGAATCTGACAACGTTTGATTTTATTTTATACTACTCGAGCGCGTTCCTTAGATTGACAGGTTTAGGAACGCATAAAATTATAAAAAAAGGAAAAATCTATTTTTGTGCACAGTATACTGAATAACCTACCGGAGTTTCATCACAATCGGATCAATGGCTTAGGAACGTAGAGAGGACAAACATACGAACATCTATTTTTATTTATACAGATAATCATGTGTAATAAATTGTGTAACACAGCAAATTGCAAACAATGCAAATGTCGGAGACTATAAATGTTCGTATCCGGGGTGTTAATTCTTTTTAATTAATAAAATGCAAACACATCTATGAATACGAAGTGTACTGCGCATTCACCGGTGACGTGTTTGCAACAAAATTTATTACTAAACTAGCGGAACCCGCGGCTACGCCCGCGTTAATTTACAAAAAAGCTCTATGGCTCTTTATCTCTATTTACTTGTATATAATATTGTTCATACAAAAATAATATAATTGCGATTTAAAAATGGGGGGTGGGGGTAGGGGGTGAAAAATAGCTTACGACCTATTCTCATACCTACCAAATATACAACAAAATAATTAAAATCGGTAGAGCCGTTCCGGAGGAGTGCGACCACAAACACCGTGACACGAGATTTTTATATATGAGATTACTGTTTTTTTATACATCACATAACAAAGAAAAAGGTAAAAGCGCCATCTGTGAATTTGCACTATAAACCTATTACCTGATTTGTGATTTATCTATAATAATTAGTAAAATTATGCAATTTGATTGAAAAGTGCATCTTTTTCACCTAAGTATAGATTTTTAAAACCTTTTTTAATAATATAACTAAGAGATATATTTTTATCTTTTATTAATTTAAAACTTAACACAAACTTCAATAGCAAATCGATACATATGATGCTATAAATAAATAGACATTTATTTGAACTAATTTTACTTTGTACATGTTGAGACTCCATGCCCTAGTACTTGTAGCCAATTGAACTGTGAAGAGTCTCATTACATTTACATATCACGAAATTAGTTTAAAAAGTTGTCATCTGTATGATGTTTATGGAAGGTTTAAAACCATAAGTAGGTATATTTAAAGCAACTTCCTAGGTGCATTATTATAAAAACATGATGTCCACAGTCCATATAATGAAGGGTCTGTGAAAGCTACCTTTTCCGATGGGTCGTAAGAAATTGCTATAAAATTGAGGTTGTTAATTTATCTTATATATTATTGACTAGCGTTTTTCTGCAGCTCCGCACGCATAGTATTTTAATCACCAACATATCATATACTAAAACCTTTTCTGAAACACGATGCAACTTATGGTATGAGTATTATTCCGATCGGTTCAGTAGTTATCGCAGTATAACCGAACAAAAAAATCTGCTCTCCGTTTATTAGTATAGATTACAGTAGTCAGTAGTCGTCATGTAAATTGGTCCAAAATGGTCCTTTTTAATTAAAATAATAAAAAGAACGCATATATTTTGATCCGATGAACTTTGTTTCGTAATTAAACTTTTTTAAATAATAAAAATAACATTATTGAAGTACTAATACAATGCACAATACAATCCCTGATCAGCTTGTGGTTTACATCTGTGTTTCACAAGTACATCTATTTATGTGTATGTGCTAATTATTTATTTTATTTAAATACGTTAAATGGGACTTCTTTCGTCTTTATGAACCTTTTTATGATGTTAGTAATAATAGTGTACCCTTGCAATATATTAAGATAACATCAATTTTCTGTTCTATATGTATAAAGTTGTCAAATTTTAAATTTCAGAATGGAGATTCATCTGGCAGTTCCAGAGAAATCTTCTCAGTACAGAAGCTAACAGAAAAATTTGCATCCGTTGCATTCAAATCCGGCAAAGACTGTGTGGAAAACAATGCCTTTGAAGCGATAGGGGATGAGGAACTGTAACACGCCCAAAGAGAACTGATGCCAATTTATAGACTTTTCATACACGCTCCACTATACTCGAATTGTAGATAAGAAAAATATTTTAGCTATCGGGTTATGTTGTGTCATAATATGACCTGATTACTTAATTTAAATATAAAAATTGTGTAGATTGTAGTATTTTATTAAGTATTAGAACAACATATGCCTGATTTTTTTTTTTATTAAAAAATTTTACACCCCTCTCTGGCCATCTACTTGCCATGTTTACTAGTTAAGAATGTATCATAAAATCAAATTGTATATTCGGATCTTCCATTTGTAAATAAAATGGTCCATCTTTGGAGATTTATAAAAATCATTAAAGTTTTCATAGCCAAAATAGATTTAAGTACGTACATAATATTAAAATAAATCATAAAAATATATAGGGTATTAGTAATTAAGGTATGGAATGATTAAAATCATCAAAATAGCTCATGTTTGCTACATGATTTTGTAAAAAAATTATTTTACTGTAGTTCTCATAATAGTATGTAAGCTATTCCGAGAGTAACAATTTACTTTTTTAATTTCATTTCATATGCATTCTTATATACTTTATGGAATAATAATAAGTTAATGTCAGAACTTTTAAAGAAGAAATATACTCATTAGAGATAAAAATATCTTTAAAGCAGCCGAACAATTTTATTTGAGCCTTGGCTCTCTATAGGTACAGTATGCTATCTCATGAAATTACTATTACAGTATGTGATTGTAATTAAAATTATTTATTTAAAAATGATATTTTACTCAAAGATTTTGAGTAACAATTTTTTTACTAATATTAATAGTTTAATATATGTGTAAGTAATTTTGCATGAAATAAAATTTGAATTTTCATTGGAAATTTTCATATTTAAGAACTGTACCACATATTTTTATTTAAATAACTTTTGTTTTTGGGACCATTTAAAAATATGATTAAGTATTTGATTATTATATGTAAAATTCAAAAGAATTGCCTATAAGGCTAAAATTATATTGTCTGCCATGCCATATTTTTTATTAACAATGTTGAACAATAAAATTCTTAAATAAAATGTTTTTACAGTATGATTTTTTTTAATTAAACCCCCATTTTACTGCTAAATTTATTTAAATTAAAATGATATTAACATAACATACTAATAAAATTAGTATTCTTTTTCCCACTGTTCACGTTCCTGCCTTTCCTTCTTCACTTGTTCAACAATTGGTGTAAGATAAAGTTTATCCTCCTCATATTTGGTCCATTCTTCTTTAGGTAGAATTATCTTCTGAATAGAGAGTTGCATAGCACGAACCATTCTGAAATTGCGCTCATCTATTACATGAGCAGGAAGTCTGCGTAATGCTTCCTTTACATCTTCATCCTCATATAAGCAGTCATCGCGTTGAAGACCTTAAATTAAATAAAGAAATCTAATAAGAAGAATGAGTCAGTTTTAATATTTCAATACTATAGTTCCCATTTCCTAACGCTTAATACAACTTTTTATCAGTGAAACAAATGGAGTAACTTATTACATAGCATATATATGTACATTAAATTAAAAGGTACTTAACATAAAAATACTATATAAATTATAAATTTACTAACTACACATACCGTATTTGTTAAATCCAGATAGGTTATATGCCCATTTGCTGAGGCTGCCTGAAAATCATTACAACGTTATATAATAAGGCAAAAATCACTATTAATAGTAACCTTTACAAGAAAAGGGTAACTTACTACGAAGAACAGCAGTAGTTCTCAAAGCCATTTCAAATAATCAAACAGACAGCGTTTCAATGAAGTATTACACTGATTTCTTAGAAAATAATTTAAGGTTCTACAACTTTTCTCAAAATATGATAATGACAAATGACAATTAGGTACAGTGTTGCCACTCTTTAAAGTAAACGCGCTAAATTAACTTAAAATTCAAAAAAGCGCTAGATTAGGACTATTAAGTTTGGACGTTTTTCGAAAAATAGCAGCTTTTAGAATTTTCGTCTGTCTGTCTGTCTGTCTGTCTGTCTGTCTGTCTGTGTCTGTCTGTCTGTCTGTCTGTCTGTCTGTCTGTCTGTCTGTCTGTCTGTCTGTCTGTCTGTCTGTCTGTCTGTCAGTCCGTCCGTCCGTCCGTCCGTCCGTCCGTCTGTTACCGCATCACAGAAAAACCACTGGACGGATTTTGATGAAATTTGGTATGGTGATAGCTGATTATCCGGGTCAAAATACAGGATACATTTTACCGCGGGAAAATTTCTCATTTCTGAGAAAAAATATAAAACTGCAACATATACTAATATGTAAAACGTAAGAATTTTGTTTTTGGTAACCTGAACGCGGGTGGAGCCGCGGGCAATGCTAGTTATAAATAAAGTTGATAATAATATATAATACAATGTTACGATATTTAAGTTCTTTATATTGTTAGTTACACATCAATAGTCCCGTGATTCGATACTATTGAGGTTTTTTTGTAAGCAATCGATTGCCTATCGACAGTATAGATATAATAATGTTCCATCAATGTAATTAAACAATTCTAAAACGCGTTTCAAATAGATGTAATGTTTTGATTTAAAAAAAGTAGATGGTTAAAACATTTGATTTTCACGCGATTTATGTGGTCACTGTGTATTAAACAAGCTTTTGAAAAAATTCGCTCACTGAAAACTGAAGTTGCCGGTGCACATAAGTATATAAATGCAAAACTTGCAATGATTTTAAATTATTACTTTTAAGCCACCATCCTATTGGTCATTCGACACGTTTTTATAAATTATTAATAAAAAGAAAGATTTAATAGTTAATAAAAAGAAACGAATGCACGGTATATTTTTGTGGTTTATGAAAATAGTAGATTTAAGTTCACTATGTAGAAAGTAAATAATCTAAAGTAGGTTGTCAAAATTCAAAAGCCTATAATACTTTCACTACTTAATATTTTGTATCGACATATATTTAACATTATGTATAAAAAAAATACCATTTCAAAAAGTGACATTACGATATTAAAAAAATATCGATAGTTTTGATAGACAAAAAACATCGATAATATCGATAGTACAATTTTTGTCCATTTGCTCTCTAAGCGGACCCGAGACGATCAATCGCAATCGTCAATTTTATGTTACTGTAAATTGACTGACATTGAACGTTTCCAAGTGCAATTGAAGCAATTGTCAATCGCAGTTACGTGATTGAAAGCAATTGATGGATATTTTGATTGATGCTCATTGACAGGAGTCATTGAAGTTGGCAATCGTCAATAATCATTGACAATCGTTTCCGTTCTGTTCGAATTTCGCGCGTCTGACAGCCACGAAAAAAAATCAATTGAATTGAACAATTAAAATAATTTAAATTATTATTAAAAAATTAAAATTAAATTACAAATATGGCGGATACCCCACGTAATTTAGAGGATGTAAATTTATTTCACTTTTAATATCGTTGTATCAAGATCGTCCTGACTTATGGAAAATTAAATCAAAAGATTATTCGAACAAAGATAAAAAAGAGTCTAGCAAGTAAAAGTATTGTAAATGTACTGAAAACTTACAGAACTGATTTTGATGAAAATAAAAATTAAATATTTGACAATAACATAGCACATTGACAATCCCCCCCCAACGTGCGTTCACCTTGTCGTGGTGGGGGGGCTCAGTAGTGCCCGGCAACCCAACCGGGCGCGAAGCCAAGAAACGCACAGGGAGGTGGCCCACTTCGGTGGGCGGTGGGAGGTGGCCCTCTTCGGAGGGCAGTGTACCATGCGGGTTGCTCCTGGTACTTCTCTGATAGCAGAGTGGACTGTGGAGCAACCCCGTGGTTCTTGTGGTCTGCTTCGGCAGACCTGCCGTCGGGGCGTCGTAGTTGAATGCGTAAGCGATCCTGCGACGCCCCATTAAGACGGGGGAAGGCTTTGTTGGGTTTTAGTGGGTAGTACTGGCTTTGCCGGTGAGTCCCACACCTCGTGCGTAAATGCATTTCTCAACGTTAAAAAAAAAAAAAAAAAGCACATTGACAATTACGATTGATCGTCCGGGTCCGCTTTACTGTTCCAATGCCAAAAGAACATCCTGTGCGCAAACACATTAAAACATGCATCAATCGCACTTCAATTGCAATTGACAATACCGTAGCACATTGACAGTTGCGATTTGCGATTGATCGTCTCGGGTCCGCTTTACGGTAGTGCTACAACAATTTTAATTTCATAAGTATCCGAATAATCCGTAAAAATATTGGAATAATGTAATTAATCAAATCGCCTTTTTGGGGAAAGTTTAGTAAGGCCAATCTAAAGTTTGATTTTCATTGTGATTTGAGATTTCCCATTTATTACTTCTTAGCTAATCATACTAAATATCACGAAATTTAATTTTGCACTAAATTTATCCCCTTTCCGAATTTTATGTTATTCAAATCTAAATGATTATCAATTATAAAGAATCAGTTAAAAATTTTTTTTAGTCATTTATTTACGATTTTAAGATTTTTTATTTTTAAAAGAGATTCATTTATAAATCATTCGTAGTAAGATCTGTCATAACTCATAGCAAATGTGAGCTAAAATCTAAATTTAAATGACTTATGTACAAAAATTATAAGGAATTAGACGGAAATGATAAAACTAGTATAAATCGAGAGTAGATATCGAGTATTTAATATTTATTTTTAAAGCTTGCCAAATGCCAATTGCAACCTTATCTGTCAAATGTTTCATCATCCAAAAATATTTGTTTCTTAGATTTCCAATTTTTATATTTTAGGTTACAAAACAAGTATCTTGTATGATCTTAAATATCTAAATTGTGTCTTATCAGTACTCTAGATGTTTATTTTTTATTTTAGAAACCATATATCATATTTAAAAGACACGTTTTAATCATGTTGTGATGATAGATAATTTCTACCCGACGACGAATGATAAACTGCGCTGCTCGTGCCCAGTTCGTGTCCCTTATCAATGTATTTGTTTGCTAGTTTTCAAGTGAACTTCGAATGCCCTCGCTCCTAGTTCCTTGGCCCGCTTATCACAATCAGCATGAATAAAATGAGACGTCGGAAGGTAATTATTTCAGATTTTGTTACGCGCTTATACTCGGCTGTACGTCTTACAGATAGTCTTTCTTTGTCGGTGATTTTAATAATTTATTCATCTAATCTTCTCAAACTATCAAGTTAGTGTGTATTAACTTGTTTGTGTTTTTTTTGTGAACCTTCCAACCAAGAGGAGGAATGCCAAGTGACTGTCGGGATTGTTTAGGAATTCGTTATCGAATCAATATCTTGCATCAAACCTGGAAGTGGCTACATCAGACAATAGCCCTTCATGAATATCTGATCTCCCTTTCTTCTGCTGACACAGATGCTTGTTGCTCTATGCACTAGTGTTTTGAACTAATAAGACTTTATTTTAAGTGAACTTGTGACTTTCACTATAGACACTTGTATTAAAAATTTAGATTTAAGGCATTGCCTGTCAAGCATTCATAAAAAAAGTATCCGTATATCATAAAGACACATAAAAATATGGCGCAGTCAATGATGAGGAAGATTGCTTTAAGCAATATTTGTGTTATGGTGGGATTGACAAGAAGGACAAGCTCTCGGAGCTTAACAACAGCTAAAAATCTTATAGAAAAAAAAACCAAGAATGACTTGCCACCAGAGGGAGAAATTACGAAATCTGTATTTATGTCTCAGTCAACAGACATTTACACCAATTTAGCATTAGAGGATTGGATGTACCGTAACATGGACTTTAGTAAGCACCATGTCATGATGGTGTGGCGAAATGAACCTTGTGTTGTTATTGGTAGACATCAGAATCCTTGGCTTGAAGCAAATGTTCCATTTTTATCTGAGAAGGAAATAGCACTTGCCCGTCGTAATAGTGGAGGTGGCACTGTGTATCATGACCGTGGTAACTTAAATATTACTTTCTTCACACCAAGAGAAAGATACAATAGAAAGTATAATTTAGAGCTTATAACAAGGGCTCTATATAGAGGATTTGGAATTAAGTCCCTCATAAATGACCGTGATGACATCATTGTTAGAGATAAATATAAGGTACCTATTTTAAAAATATACTATATTATTTACTTTTGCATACAACATAATTGACTATAAATTATCTTAAAGAATTTTATTTTAAATTATTGATAATTATCATGCATTATAATTTTCTTAATGGTGTATTTATCAGATTTCCGGGACAGCTGCTAAATTAGGACGCTTATCAGCATATCACCACTGTACACTTCTAGTCAATGCTAATAAGACGGATCTCAGGAAAGCACTAGCCAAGAGAGAGGTTAGTTGACTGTATAATAACAATACTAATATAATAAATTATATAATAACAGAACACAACATTATAATAATTTATAATGTTTAACTTATTACTATTAATTTACATGATTTTGTAGGTATAGATGCTTGAATTAATTTTTTTTATTCCTATAACCTGCATTGTAACTTTCAACCTAGAATGTGTTTTTTCAATAAAACAATGCACATTGTAATTCGTGTAGTAATGAATAATTAATTAAGTCAAAGATCACGACATTGCATAAGAGTCATGTTATTGTCCAACAGAAGATCTTTTACAACAAACATTTTATCATTTAAATACTTTTACATACATATATATTTCATACCACCATACCATAGTTATTGATTGTTATGCTCTTTTCTAACTTTATGTGTGATACTAACATTAACCCAACCTATCCTTCCTATTTCATATGTTAAGAACACTTGTAATTTATTTAGCATGGCATACAGACTAAGGCGACGGTATCAACACCCTCTCCCGTGGTCAATCTGGCAGATCTGGACAACAAGGTGACTGTAGAGAATCTTCAAATAGCTGTTGGCTATGAGTACCTGAGAACAGCCGCGTTGCATTTAGAAGATGGAGGAGATAGGCAGATCTCAAAACAAAGAGGCTTCCAGTTCGTCAATCCCACTGATGAGTGGTTCCCAGGTATGTTATAGGTCTTTTATTTAGGGTAATTTCTTAAACTTAAAGAGTGTCTTTGTTAAAGTGAAATGAATAAAATTTGGCACAGAAATACCTTATATTAAAAAAAGCATATGTTTATTGTGGAAAAAGAAAGTTTTTTTGACTTCTTATAAAAGTATATGGATCCTATTAAAACTTCTTTATTTAATATAATTTGCACGACTTTTATTTTGCTTTTTTTTTCGTAAGCACTGGCGAAACAGTTTATATATATTGTAATTAATAATATTATTCTAGTTAATTATAATATTAATCATATTTAAATGTTTTATGTGTTAATTACAAGGATCTTTTTTTGGGTTAAAAAATATATACCTATTGAATATCGATTCTGCGACTTCCGATATTAATTAATTTAAAGCCAACATTTGATTATTTAAAATATATCTTTACACATTATTCCACAGGTCTAGCAGAAATAAAGAATGAGCTAGTAACATGGGACTGGTCGTTTGGCCGCACTCCACTGTTCACCGTGAGCCGGTCCTTCCCAGTTCCGGCCGAACTTCTAGCGCCTTCCAAAATATATTCAGCAAGTCAAGAGCTCGTTATCAGCATGACTGTGGAGAAAGGGCTGATCAATGACGTCACATTAAACATCCCTCCAGGTTTAATCGAATCTGGATTCCATGGAGAAGCATCAGTTATCACACATTTGAAAGGAAAGAGATTCACATCTGAAGCTCTCACAGCTCTCCAGGAAGCACTCCTCACGCGTCACTCCAGTGGGGACGATAGAAAGTTGGACGAAAAAGAACAGTTCGTCGCTAAGTGTTTCGACCAAGTGGTTAACACAAACTAAAATTTTGTATAATAAGCGTTTAGGAATTATTAATAAATTTATTCAAAAAATATTATTTATGTAAAGTATGTTAAATTAAATCCAATAGGTGCTACATGTTTTATATAGTGTAAGTATTATTGTGGCTCTATTTTTAGATAACGTAATATCTTGTTTGTCCAAATTTTCTTAATGTTATCTTGTAAATTAATGTACATGGTGCAAAGGTTAATTCTATATATTATAATTAGTCTGTAGTTACTAGTCCTTGTGATATTGTAGTTTTGATACTGCTATTGAAGTTTTTTAGAAAAATGCTTGTTTTTTGTACTGTTACTAAATTCTTTGTTAATATGAAGATTAACTGCTAACTGATTAATTCCTTTAAACCGCTTATGATTTCGCTTTGTTGTGTTTTTTTTAGTTTTATTTTATTGTTAGACACTAATGTTGTACGGATTTTGTTCAAAACCTAACCAAATCAAATATAAAAATCTAGAGTATAAACAGTTATATCAAAGGTCATTTGTTTTATACAGGAACTGTAAGTTTTATTATCTGTACAACATGTCTTGTGCGTCTAAGTTCCCGCGATTCGGACATTTCGCCGAACGCTACAAGAATGCATCATATCATTTGTTTTAATTAAATTTTAATTTTGTTACTGTATTAACGTACCCATGTAATTTTACTTATAAAACATTTCGTGTCATGTACATATTTTGTAACGTGTTTATGTTTAAAGCTAATTATTTTAAACCATTTCATCATTCACTCTCATTTTGCTTCACAACATCTACCCGGAACGGGTACTTTTTTATATGAAATGGACGTAAGGCACAGTTAGACTAAACTCTAATGTAGGCTGTTATCCTATGTTAAATGTTATTTTTGCTTATAAACTCGACTTATATTAAGATCAATGTATTTTATGAAATTGTATATTGAAATAAAGTTAATTGTATTATAATATGTACCTACTTTTATTTTTTATTCGCTCCACTTGCATCGTTAATTTAATGTTCCTATAAAAAAACAAGTTTTATTATATAAGGTCATTTTAAAGATTACATTTTCAAAAATATTATAATATATAAAGATAAATGGCGAACTTTAGTGACTAAAGAAAAAGATTCCGACGAATTGAGAACCATCTCCTTTTTGGAAGTCGGTTAATTAATATCAAACTTACATAAGCATCACTTGATATGATTGATGCTTCAAGGGGAAGGTTACATCAACCCGCACAATGTGCATGATTACGAAGAATCGTCTAATCATAAGTACCAGTCAAGTAACTAAGTATAAGGCAAATCGTGAGCGCTCACAAGTACTGGATTAATGAAAATATGCGCGTTTGTCCTCGCACAATAAAAACTTGCTTGAAGCTTGCTCTTCCTCTCGCTTTCTGAAGAGCCGGGTGGTGGTCGTTGGCCGCCGCCTGCGCAGCCAGTCTGCGCTCGTTCTCAGTGCGCGCGCACCGTCCGCCATATTGCGTTACAAGTTGCCATGACGACCGCGGATATCTAATCATAAACGCGGGAGTTTTAAAATTTCAGTGGAGTGACTATTTTATGTATTGAAGCCTTTCTACTAAGTAAGTATAAGGAATCATATTTAATAATAATAAATCTATACTTAATTAATTATATATATATATATATATATATATATATATATATATATATATATATATATATATATATATTAAACTAAAAATAATAAAAGTAAACTAACTAAACGTAAAATATAAAAAGTAAGAAATTTTACATATACACATTGTTAATTCTTATATTTTCATCGCTTATGGAATAATATAAAAGGCAAAATATAATTTTCTGTAGTTCATCGAAAAGGAAGGACATTATTTTTAGACATGAAAAACTTCGTTTTTCAATCATCTTTTTTCGAAAATCGATATGGGATAGGTATCATTGTTTTTAAGGTGTAGTATTTTTCTTAATCATTACATATAATTGTAATAACTGTGTAATTAAGTTAATTGCAGAATTTTTATACGCGAACGTAATAGGAAATTGTCGTTTTAACGACAAGCTCTTAAGTAAAGAAAAAACAATTTAAAAGTTTTTATACTTTGTAAGATAAAATATGTATTTAGATAAAAAAATATAAAGTTATAAATGTATGCTAAAAATAAATGAATAACTAAATAAAAATGAAAAACCTATTACCGAGTGCATACCTACGCGTTGAAGTCTTTTGTGTGGCATTTTTGACTTGCGTTTAACCTGTCAAGCTTATAAACAACAAAAAGGCTTTTGGTAAATAAACATAAATTTAAATGCTGAATATATTAAAAACTAATACTAGGCTATAATTTGAATATGTATATAGTATACATAAAATTGTACTAAACTGGGTCTGGGTGTTGTAAACTGGGTCAAAGACGAACACTGATTATTTTTAGAATAATTTTGGAGTGCCTATGGAGTGTTTGAGCTGTAAAATTTTTGTTTGTCTGTCTAGTTTATTCCCCATTCGAAAAGAAGGAGGTTCTCAATGTATCTACATTTTTATAGGTTCTGTGGGTATCATCGTCAGATAGAATATTTAATCGCCAATTAAGGATCGATTACCATAATTTACATTTTTATTGAATATCAAATAAAACCAGTCAAATTAAATTAAAATCTTTATACCTAACACGAAAACAACACAAATTTCTTAATAGGACGAAGAAAAATATTCTAATTATTATATATTAAACATTCAAGAGGATTGCGAGACTGATATGAATCTTTGTCGTTAATTGTTATCATTTTATTACACTTAATACAAAGAATGAGGAAATGCAATTTTATTTTCTTTCGATATCAACGACAGTATAAACGTACATAATTGCAAATGTATCAAGAAAGATCTAAGAAGTGTTTATAAACATGCTTAATTACATAATAATAGTAAGATTATTTCAATGGATTGTTCCGCCTAGAAATCACATGTCCGGTGTATTCCACACCAAATTATCGTATCACGCTACCTATCTATGAAGAAATATTGGGTGTTTCGTACTACATTTCGTTTCGGCTACGCTTGTCTGAACCTAAAATAATTATTGTTGATAGAAATTTATATTTCAACAAATATTTGTATAATGTCTTTGTCAGTACAGTAAAGAGATGAAATGATGCTGATATAAACTTTTAATCTAAATGGATTTATAATAAGCGTGATCTTTAATTTTTAACCCATTCATGGCCTGGATAGCATTATAAGCATCTGTAATATACATACATACAGTCATTCTCATTAGTAATAAGTATTAATAAGTATATTCCTTTTAACAATTCAACAACTTGACGTGGTTACCTATAGCTTTAATTAATCATTATATTGAGTATCTATATCAAAAGATGAATAAGAATTAAACTACTTTTATAAAAATAATTGTATGTAATGATACGTACTGAGATAATTATTAGTTTTTAGAAACAATATGAAAGAAAAACACTATTTAGCTGTACAATAAAAACAGGAAGCTTATGATGTAAAGGTTATATAAATACTTTATCTTAGCAAATCTCGTTAAACTAGCGTTGTTGCTTGCAATATACATTTTCTATAGTCTTCTTTTGTACTGCAGTTGAATAAAAATTACGCGATTAAATCAAGCGTATTATATAAGATTATCTTATTCAAACCTGTTTCACAGTATTAGATGTTTTATTAGAAATTACAAGGTAAAACATTTTGTTTGTGAAGAAGTACATGTTAAATAAATATAGTAATTTTTTAGTTGATGTACCTAAACCTATTTGAGTTATTTATATACCTATATTAAACAATGAAAATTATATAATGTCTCAACATATTTATTTATATTTATTTATATTATTTATATTGTATGTAGGTGTGCTATAATTGCATGTGTATAGAAATATGCAGCCACTTGCTTTCGCTTCGTTATCTACGTACCAAACAAAATATTTAAAAGCACTGGTGTGCCTTGAATTTGTTGACTAACGTAACATAAATATTACTTACAATGTAAAAATGTCCTAAGTTCACCTAAATTAATAATTTTCAATTAACGTTGGATCAACGATCTAGGCAATGTCACCTCGCCTATGTAAAGCAGCTTATAAGTCTATGTAGAGCAGATTAATATATCATTTAAAGCTCGTAACTATGTATTATATGTACTAAATAGTTTAAAGATTAATTAACTCTACAATGATAATCACAACTCGCTAGATACGATAGATTGAACAATATAGAACATACGTATTTAACTTTTTTAGATTTACGATAATATTAGACATTTTAACAAAGGTTCTTCCCGCTTTTAAACATCGTAATGGTATAAATTAAGGTTTTTAAAGTCTCAAAAGCCATAGCTGTGTCTACCATAGAGATATTTGGTGTCCATATACATATGTGTTGCTATTATTGTAAGCATTGCCATGTTTGCTGTACATCATTCGAAATTTCGTAAATAGGTATACAATAAAGTATATATATATATATATATATATATATATATATATATATTTTAGATTAAAATCTAATGTCTCATAAATGAAACCATTTTGTATAATTTGCCCCTTCTTCCTGCCCATTTCTCAAATTACTTGGGGTCGGCGCAGTACGCTCATACTGCTTATATAGGCTTTGGCAAAACAATTCCGACCGGCTGACGTCTGACGTCAACCCTCTTTGGGAATGCTGTTGTTCTCCCGCCATCGAGCTAAGGACTTAAGCTGCGATGTCCCTAGATCCTTTAGTCGTCTTCTACGACACCTACAGGAGGAGATGGGGTAGCCCTATTCTAAGCCGGGCGCTACATGGCTAAAGTTTAGTAGTGTTGATGATTGCTTGACGTTTATTTATTTTAATAGCCGTTTCAAAGTCCAATTTTATTTTAGTTGGTCTTGTTAAATAAATCAGTATTAGTTGCTGTCAATCTATAATGACCACACCTTGAGTGTAATTTAACTTAATCGTAATTAAATTTATATAATATATTAAAATAAGTATACGACTTCCTTACTACTTCA